CTTAGCTTTTTGTTTGTTTGTTTTGGTGTGTTTTTTGTTTGTTTGTTTATTTGTTTTGATGGTAAAGTATTTAGTGCAGATTATCTTACCAGCTTTTCTAATAAGTTTCCAATTATTTATGTCCTGGGTGTTTATTCACAATTTGCAAGGACTTACTGTTTCTGTTAATAGCAATTACATAGTCTGTATCTTTAGCAAATACAGCTGTTCAAAGTATAATGTGGGATTATTGAACCAAAATGTTATGACTTCAGTTAAAATGTATTTATATTCCAGGACTCGCAGAGTAAACTGTGCAAGTGCAGGATATTTCTGATCTGTTTAACACTCATAGACTTCCATCTACAGCTAGATTAATACATAAACTTTCTTTTTTTTCCCTTTGTATTGAACTTAATCATTGTGATCTTAACTTTGTTTTACTAACAACTGAGTCTTTTGCTCAGTTTAGCTTTGTAAGGGTTCTTAATAGAGATCACTTTTCCTCATGCTGTTACTGAATGCTTCTTTTCATTCTAGTTACAAAGTACAGAATGAGTGGTTTGTTTGGTTTCAGGTAGGCTTGTTGAGCTGAATCTTTCGGAAATTTCTGACTTTGCTCTGAGTCCATATGAGGCTGATGTCACTTACGCCCCATAGTGGAAGTGCTTTATAATGCTAGCAAAGATACAAATAAGCCACTACAGAAATGGAAGCACTTTGTATTTGATCCAGTATTGGTGCCAGCCATCTGCTCTTTCCTTCCTCCACTGAAATCCCTGTGGCTAAAAGGCGGAGACTGGGCAGGTGTCTGTCAACTGGCAGGGAGCTCTGAATCTGGAGACCTGGAGAGTGCTTTGATTTTTTTAATTAAAGGTTAAGAAATCAGAGTGCTCTTTTAGCCCCTGGAGTCTTAAAACCTTGCCGTTTTCCAGCGTGTAGTGATCCTGCTTGCCCATGTCTTTCACTGCTCCTGCTCCGGGTACTAGTGTGCATTTGCTTAGCTGCATTATTGTAATGCCTGACAGCCCCAGTCATGGCCAAGAGCTTACTGTACCTTGTGAAAGACCAGCACAGTAAAGAGACCCTTTTATAGTCAACAGTGATTGCAGGAATTAATAAAAGACATAATTTTAGAAATTTGAGCTAAAGCCCTGTCAGTGCTGTTAAAGACTGACTGCGCTCAGTCAATACTGTCATGTTTGCTGCAAGTCTGTGGATATGGGCAAGCCAAGGTCAGCGCTGCTTCAGCTTAGATAACTGCTGATAAACAAAGATATTTCTGGGTCAAGTGAGATAGAGGCAGGCATGTGACAAAAGAACAACTGTGTTATTGTGTGACCTTTTTCCTTCACTTTTTGTCTTATTCCCTTTTCTTTGGTTATCACTACTCTGATTGCGTCATGTCTGAAATTAGACTTCTAAGCTCTTTGTGGAAGACTCCCCATCTAGGCTACTTGTGGCTATTGTTAAAGGTAATACAATTTTTATGACCTCAAAATACTCCATTAATATCAATGTATTTGGTTTCAAGTATTATTCTCATTTTTTGAAACAATTGGAAGTGGCTTGCTTAAGATGCATGTCTGCAGCAGAGCTGGAAGCTGATCCCGGGGGTTCTGCCTGTACGTATAGTCTCAGCTATTGTCCAGCCAGACTTGGGTGAGTGATGATGATGCCTGCTTGACAGTCTTAAGACTATCTCTGCCAAGGGCTCAGGCTTAGGTATTGAGTACATTTATATTTCTCATGAAGAAACCTCTGGGAATGTAAAGTATGACTGTTTCTGTGAACTTTCACCATTCTCTTCCCTTATTTGTAGCCCATTAGCTCTTGCAAAACCTCAAAGGAATCTGTAAAACACTCAGACTTTATTGTTCTATACACTGGACCTCTCCACAAGCCTGGCTTTGTGCTAGAGTGCTGAAGAGGTTGAGATGCAACGACTGAACCTAGCAGTCTTTCCTGTTGCAGCTTAGTGCATTCAGATGTGTTTTCTTCTCAGGGCCAAAGTGCAGAAAGGTTTGGTCTGTCTCTGGGGTGTCCCTGCAATTCTGTAGCTGGTGTGTTTGTGGCAGGCGAGGATTTGGAGTGAAAGATGTGTTGTGGTCCTGTCAGGTATGTGAATGCGAGGGCAGGGAGAAGCTTTTGGCCTGCTCTTTGCCATTCTGACTTTGGAGCCTGGTGTAATTCCTGCATGTTGGTCTCTCTGTTGCTAGCAACTGCCTTCCCAGACAGCTCCAAACAAAAAAGCTTAAAATAACTGTCTAAGGGCTTACAATTAGAACTGTTAACCGATCTCCAGTGGGAAAGAATTATGTTCATGTAACTTTACAAAGCCTGAAAGCAACATTTCGTACTCCATAATTACTATGCTCATTCTGCTCTCTAAGACTGCCCAAGCCTCTTCAGATCAGTGTATATCATGATGACAGATTATAATAACACATATTCCTAATTTCAATTCAGTTTATAAACATTAACCAATGTAAGAAATGTGCCATGTACATATTTTATTAAAGGATAAGCCTTGTCTGTGTTGCAAAGCCATTTGTAAAGATGGGCTTTCCTGTGTATGTGTTTATAAGAGTCCAGATTGTGGAGCTGCCTCTCTTGCAGTTTAAGACGAAAGATTAGTCTGGTGCAAGTCATGAATAATTTGTTTTCATGTGATGAGGTTTGCATAAAGGTTTTCGATAATTTTGGAAACAGCGCTCAAAGTTTTGCTTGAAAAAAAGTGAGGATCTTACATATCCTTTCAATAGCTGGTAGAAACAATATTGCCAGTTCCTTTTAAAAAATCAGGTTGTGGCTTTTTTCTTCTCTTTTGTTGTTTGTTTAATCAGTTTTAAAAGTTTTAAAATTTTAGTCTCTCTTTTTAGTAGTTTTTCTTCCTCGTCAGTGTTGATTTTCTTCTGGTGGAGCTGCTTGTGTTAGCCACATTTTGTCTGGCTTGTTGTAAGGATAAGACTAATCAGCACTTGATAGACATTTTCTTTGTAGCAACTTTTTGTCTCTTCCTCATCCATTAGAACACAATTGTGTAGAAATTCCTAGGTGTGTTTTGAAAAGGAAGCCTCCAATACTTGCAACCAAGTTTACAGCTTGAATTGATGAAGACAACCCGAAAAAACAGGTTATTTTTAAAGTGTTCATCCATAGTGTAAGACTTTCATCTCATAGAACTGTTACCTGAAAACTTCCCTTTGAGGTGCATCTGTGATGCTTCAGACCCTGTAATTCAAAACACCAAAATCCTTCTCTGTAACATTCTCCATACTAGAATGGATCTGTGTGTTCAGATTGAGTGTGAAAAAATTGTGGTGATGGGGAAAAATAAAAGCACATCCATGGATATAAATAGTAGGTCCAAATAGAATAAAAATGCATGCTTTGGTGAATTTGAAGACCATTGGAACAGAAAAGTACCTAATTAAATAATGCTTAAAGGGTTGCATTTTCACTGTTTCACCTTTATTACCTCCTTTACTGTAAATCAAAATCTTCTTGAGGTAGGATTTGTAGTTCGTATATTTCCATCTGGCTATGTATAATTTTCCCAGACAATATGGTAGTTCTACGTTTCGTGTTATTTTGCTTGCTGTGGGCAATTAACCTCTGATGGTGCTGAATGTCAGGAATGGTTTAGATTGGAGCAGTAGTTTGTGGTATCCGGTGGAGCAATGCAAGCGACCTGATTTTGCTGGCACGTAGTCCTTCACAGCATGGCCATTTTCACACATGTTTAACCTCACAGAGCTGATGGGTTTCACTTTTGAGTCTCTGGTTAGTACAGTGGTTTAATAAAGCTTTATTAATTCCCAGCCTCCGAAAATGGGAAAGTGAAAGTGGCAGCATAGTAATTTTATGAGTGTCCTCAGGGCAGAGGCGCCCCTGTAGTCAGTCATAGCTTCAGTCTTTCTCTGCAATAGAAATGGGCCAATCACATGAAAATTTGGGTAGGTCATAAGCGGTCTGCCATGCATGTTACTTATTTAGGTATGTGTTTGCTAGCCCCAGGCAGGCACCTTCAGGAAACAGTGGAAGTTGCCAAACTTCCTGGTTGCTGTGTTTTCCCTTTTGTTGTCTGTCTGTGAAGCAGCTTTCCTTTCATGTCTTTGTCTTTATTACAGGGTGCTGTAGGATTCTTTTTTTTTGCTATACAGTGTTACACAACAAGTAAGCCTTCCCCATTTCATAGGCTTTATTGATTCTAGGACTTTGATCTGATAAGTTCCCTAGATTAGTTTCATACTTGGAGGTTTTAGGGGAAATGATTGATACCTAATTACATTCTTTTGTAGTGGGCTTCTTTTAAACTGCGGATTGCTCAGTTGGTTGGTTTTGCTTGTTCGCTTAGGGCTTCAGCTGTTGCTCTTCTGTAGTGCCACTCTCCTGGAAAATACACCTTCTGCTATAGAGACAGACATGCTGGATGTCTAGAAAATGCCATACCATTTGTGATAAAGTGACAGGAACATAAAACCATCATCTTTGTTTTTATGTTTTTGACTTTCTTGCACAATATTGTGTTTTGTAGTTGCTTTGAATTTTTCACTGCTTTATTCAGGATGTAGATTGCTGTGCTTTGCTGTATAGAATTTACAAACATGGTTTATTTTCTGTGCTGTGCTGTTATCCTTCCTGTTCAAGGTCTCTGAAGGTGGTGAGTGGGAGGTTGCAAACAATCTGCAGGAATTTTGATGCAGCTAACTGTCTGGAAGAAAAGGTGACAAAGTGAGTGTGCGGGAGAGGCTTTGGAAGGAGGGATTGAAGCTGTTTCCAGACACAGCAGGGTAAGCATAGGCTATGTGCAATAAGCTTTGCAAATCTTTTACAAACACAAAAACTGACCCGTATTTTCATCCTTTTCTCTGTTCTTACTCAAGACTCTTAAAAATGGTGCTGGTGGTTTTGCAGAGGCAGATTTCTGCTAGCTGGAGCAAGTTCGTGATGCTCTGTAAGTCTCCAGTCATTTTCAAAAATGCAAACCGCAAAAGCCAAAACCAAAACCTACCTTACTGAGCCTCCTCTGACTTCTATTGCACTGAAGGAATTAAAACTTTTTTGCCCTTTCTGCACACGTGTAAATAGCACACCCTTTCTATGTTTCACAGGTAGATTTAACTGCGTTTTCTTTCAGGTTTGAAGGGGAACTGGTAGCTAGCATATTATATATTGCTTTTTACTTTGCTTGTTTTGCGATCTTAGAAGTGAGTTATTTCCTCTGTTTCTCTTCCTCATTAGTAAAATATGTATTATAATTCTATGCATGTTTCATAAATGTGAGATTTGACCATAATAATGAGGAAATTGGAGAAGGAAGGTTTGATTGCACTGTCTCAGAAGGACAGAGGGTAACTTGCTGCATTTGTCTTACATTTAAGATTGTTCTTGGAATTCGTCCATCATCATGGTTGAAAGTGATTGAGCTGCTTACAGGGGAGAGCCATAATTTCAGTTGCTGGAAGCAGGAGGACTTATTGAGAAATGATTGTCATCACCCTAATCTGACAGATTTCCTGTAAGGAACAGTGACAGCATTGTTGCAGTTAAAGCTGAGAGTGTACATTAGCTAGAACAGAGGAACACTTTATTTTACATGAATAAAACCCTGAAGGAGAGGAATTTAAAAGCTAACATGGTGGAATAAAAGATGGTCTGCAACTACAACTTGTTATTATTCTCAGCATCCTTAATTTTGCTGAAATCTGAGGAGAAATCAGAGTCTTTCCTGAGTCATTTCTGCAGCATTCTGTCAGAGAGAGATGTTTGCAAATGATCTCCAAGGAGAATGAGGAATGTACACAATTTACGCTTGCTTATCATGCCAGATATAGCTGATGTAGCAAATGGGCTAGACAAAGGGCAGGACAGCACAGCCCTCAAAAAGTGAGCCAAAGAGTAAAGTTCAAGATTACTACAGTGTGTGAGGTCATGAACTTGATATTTGAAACAGTACAAATATACATATGCTTAGTTAAGAGAATAATAATAAGAGAATAATTATAGAAATGGAATAATGGTGGATAGTTACCAGTTACACAGGCAACAGTTGCCAGTTATACAGGCAACAAGTTTTAAAGAGAGATAGAGATATTTTACATTAAATGGTTACCATTAAATGTTTTTAATTTGTTCCCTAAATCAAATAATCTTTAACTTTATTTAAGGTTTTATAGCAGGCTCTCCAGGCTAATAATAAACTGTGACAAGACAGTTGCACTGGGTAGGGATGTCTCAGTGATTCTGCTTTGGATGGGTTAAAATCTGCTGATGGGTGGTCTGGGCTGGTAACAGCCTTGTAAGTGGCTCTGAGTGTCTGTGCCCTGCACCCTTCTGATACCTCCTTTGAAATGACTTCATCATTTCAGAACAGAATCCTGGATACAGGGAGAGACTCCTCCACAGTCCTGTTGTATACTACAGGAAGTCCTTCAGCATCCTTTGCATAAATGTAGCTCATATGGTGGTTTAGATGTGTTTGGGATTTTCTTTAATGCGTTAGTGCAGATACTCTAGAGAAGTTTTTAGCTAAAAATGCTAACTCTTAACTTTTCTCATTAAGGTGCCATGAGTTACTTTCCTTATGTATTTTTCATTCTGGAAAATGCTGCATATGCGCCCATTGTGTACATGTATATCTAATTTGTCATTCTTTTTAGGTGTAGAAGAGAAAGCCTTGCAATATCAAAAATTCCTTAGAAATCTGAAAATATTTATAATACTAAAGGAGATGATATACAATTTGTATCCATCTGGACAAAGTTCAGGAGAAGTTCTTGAATATCAGAAGCTCCTGGAAGTGAAAATAACTGATTATGTTGCATGCCAAATCTTAGAGTTATTAAAACAAATATACTGATGCTAGGTTCTGCTTTTTCTCTGTGCAGTGTAAAAGCAGTGCTAAGTATCATAACATTTCAGTATATTTGGAGGCAAGACACAGTATCTTCTGGGAATTACAGTATTGGAACTGGCTCTGTGCTTTATTCAAAGGTAAGGAATGGTCCAGGGTGTACCACTCCAAAGCACTTAAGCCTTAGAAGCATGTTGCCATTTTCCTGTGCTACTGCAGGCTGACTCTTGTGCTGAAATTCAAGTAAAACAAAACAGAAAAACCCCAAAGCTGGTAATTGGCTAGGATGATGATTGTGTGAGCTCATTCCCCAACCCCAGGGAGGGAAGCCTGTTTAGTCAGAGCCAGCAGTGCTCATGCAGTGAAGCTGCCAAGTATGAGCTTTCCTGAAGCATAGTCATGCTGCAACTTGAACATTTATCACTGCAGCTTAAACTATGAACTGTTACTATTAGGATGGCATAGAAGATACTTTTCTGTAGTTTTTCTATACAGAAAGAACTTCTAAAAAGCTAATTTTGTGATAATTTTCTTTTACCATCAAATACTGGATGCACCAAATCCTCCTTTATCTTGGTGATCTCTTAGGATGTAGTTATTTTGCATGCAACTGGGAGAACTGGGATGTTCAGTGAGCATGTTTTGTTCAAAGTACCTTAAATCTCTTCTCTCCCTGGCAATGTCCTTTTCACTGGGTTTTGTGCTGAATAACAACTTCAATTGTACATATTCCTTTTCCTCATTTAGGTTATCTCTGAACTGACTCCTTTTTATGGAGTCAGTTATGACTTTGCATCTTAATAGTTTCACTAGATCTCTTTCCCAGATTGCTGCAGTTCTAAACTAGTCTGAGTTAGACCTTGTGACGCTGGTTTGGAAAGTTGTGCTAATGCAATGCTTTCTTACTAATGTCAGAGTCCTCTTGCTAAAGGGTACCTCTGGGTACTTTTCTGTGTGGTAGCTGCAAATCCCAGCCACAACTATTAAGAACAGCATCAACTGGGCTCTTTCTTTCTTTCTTTTTTTGGTTGAAAACAAGGACCCTCGGAGTTGAAAGTTGAATGCCGTATTTTGACAATTATTGTTGTCTTTTTCTTCAAAGTGTAAAAAGTCTACAGCAGAATTTCTGAAAGCTTGCAGGTTAAAACTTGATTTAGTGGAAATGTCTTCTAATATACAGAAAACCTTGCATTCTTTTTATCAGAATAATGTGACTGATCAATACAAAAGCATTAGTAGAAGGAAAATGTTGCCTAGTTTGGAGAGAAAAATAGCTTGTGATGATTTCACAGAGTAAGACTGTCAGAAACTACTCTTAATAGTATTACCTCAGGTGTTGAGGTTTAGCTGTTATTTCTGATACTTTTGCAGTGCTGCAGAAAGCAAGGAGAGAGGATAGATAGCATTTAAGCTTCTGAGAGGCATATAGCAGCTTATCCACCTCTACATTTTTGCTACCAGGGACTCAGTTTCCTGCTCTAAGGTGTTTTCTCCTCTCCTAGTGAAGTTTGGAAATAGGAAAAACTTACTTTATGAAATCTTCGTTTGTGTACTAGTTGCAGTTTAGAGAGAATTTTCCATCTCACGTGTCCATAATTTCTCCTAGAGTTATTTTTGTCCTGTTGTGATAGTCTTGGAAAATGAGCGGAGACGTTGTGCTTAGAGGAGGGAGGAATGCCCTGGCTCCGTGCTGAGGGGTGGCAGAGGTCCGTGGTTTGTAGCCAAGGCGAAGGGGAGGCAGTGTGGGGGAACAGCTATGTAACAGCCTGAGGAAGTGAGTCACTTCACTCTGAAACACAGTCCCATGGCTCCAGGAGCACTGAAGCCAAGCCTGGCCTCTGAGGTGGAAGTTGCGTAAGTTAATTAAAACTCTTTGTCCTTTCCTCCTCGTCATGTTCCCAACCCCACCTCACTATTAAAACCTGCACTGTCCCTATATCTGTCTGAGGACTTCAGTGTACTATATAATTTTGGTTTATTATTTTTCATTTTAGAAAGAGGGATAAATAGATGGCAGGTTTCATTGAAGGGGATGTGTGTGCTAGTCTTACCTGCTCCACTCAAGAGAAATTTGATTATATAACAGAAGGGATGTAATAAGTATAGGATTTTAACAGTTTGTTGTCATTTTCCTGGAATATGTTGGCAGTGGGATTTAAAGTGGAACAGAATGCACACTGAAAAGGATAGGAATAGAGACTTACACTAGAATGTCAGTGGTGGTAATCTGAGAATATAATTGAATTTAAAACTAAACATCTAAAAAGGTTTTAGGTGTCCAGATAGAAACACTAGTGTATGTGTTCACACATTAGACCTTAATCCTGCAAGCTAGCCTCTTAGAGTTTGTGGATAGCTTTTCTTCATGGAAGAAGAAGGTAGGAGGGTAGAATTGTCGTAGAGTGCCTGTTCTGGAAAGGATTCCTCCTATTACGTTTGTAGCTTTACACTAACAGACACTTGCTGATGTCTGTGAGCAGCTGTTACAACAGCAGCTGCTTGAACTACCTTTCATTGAGTGTGACCTGTGCAGGAGCAGTTTCTTTCAGCTGTTGAAGAAAACATCTGAGAGAGCAACAGGTTGAGCAGGCCCTGGTCCCAGGGCTTGGATGCTGGGTGGGCAGTTCTTGACTGGAAAGCATCTGTAATCATTGGTGGTGTGTGTGTGACTGATGGGCTGTTGCCTGACCCTTTTCCTTCAGAATACTGAATTGAGCATCTTGCTGCATGTTTGACTACAGCCTTCATGTACACACGTGGCTTTTAAAGGTCTTTGGGAAATGTGGCCTTTTGGCAAGCCATGAGGGTTTTTTGTTCTGTGGTTTTGAGTTGAGATTAAAACCAGATTATTCTGACTACAGGAAGACGTGGAAGTAATTGGCCAGATCAGAGGTAGTTTAAGAGTAAAACTTTCAGGATGAACTTAAGTGATTAGTCAGAATTCTGTGTGCAATAGGGAGTTGCATCATGCAAGTACAGTGTTATATTTATTTTTTTAAACTAAGTTGTTTTGTTTTGCATTCTTCTAGCAGATCAGATCTGTTGTTTCTTCCATCTGTTATCCTGGTCTTCATTTCCATGGGAAATGGGACAGACATACACATTGTTGCCTATCACATGAGCATTCATAGGCCAGTTATGGCTCTTGATGATTCATTGCAATTGCTTCTCTGTTTCAGAACCTGTAACTGAGTGGACCCTACTGACCTCTGAACCACAAAGTATAAGAGTGAAAAGAAGTGGGAGAAGCACACAAAGAAAAAGGAAGTGAATGCACTTTCATCTGGACTTCTTTCCTGCCCTTTATTATTAAAGCTGGATGGAAAAGAAAGACTGCTGTGCCTTTCCTCCCCCAACCTCAGGGATGGGTGGATTATAAATACTGTGTGTGTGGCTGGGCAAATAGACTGAACCATGAATCTTCAGGCTCAGCAAAAGTCTTCAAGCAAACGGACTGGGAAACGAGTTGCCTATTTTAATGAGCAGGACATAGCTGTGCCATCAAAAGAACCACAGCAGCAGCTTAAGGAAGGACAGTACTATGGCCATGGAGGGAATATACCAGTCTCCCAAACTATGGAGATTTCTCATCCAGGAGGATTAACAAGTGCACCCAACAACGTTGCTCTGATGAACTCTGTTTACAATCAAGATAGGGGAGAATCAGTGATGATGCCCCAGTCAGTAACAGCTGTCAAATGGCAGAATTCACTGATGGGAAACCGGTTGCCAGAGAGGGGTGACAGCCACTGGCAGTCTCCTACTTCAATGTGGAACCACGGTATGGTTTTTGGGGGCAACCCAAAAGGACCCCACTCCAATGCTGGTGCCCCAGGCTTCTATGGCCACCCAGAAGCCCTTAAAAGAAATCAAGAGAAAGGAGTGTTTGTGTCACAGCTAGATTTGTATGGAGATGCTGTCCAGCAGATGATGTCCCAGAAGGCTCAGCTGGAACAGCAAGCCCTGGTTAGACAACAAGCTCAAATGAATTCTTTTCATCAAATGCAGAAACAGCAGCAGCAGAATCAAACTCTGCCATTGCAGCCTTTCCAACTTGCATTTGGTCACCAAGGCCAAAAGCAAGGTCTTCCTGAGTTGTTACATGTCTTTCAAGAAGCCCCAACTTCTTCCACTCCAGCATTTACTGCACAACAAAAGCAGCAAGCTCTTCCCCAGCTACAACTCTTTGAAAATTTCTATCCTCAGCAGCAGCAGCAGCAACAGGCTGCCACACAAGCCTTTGGTCTGCAGCAAACAACTTCTATAGCACAGCCTCATGTGGCAGCTGCAGCACCTCAGCATCACATGATGCCACACCAGTTTCAGCAAGCAGAGAGGAACCAGGAGCTATTCAAGGCATTAACGGAGCAGAACCAACAGACTGTGCTACCTCAGACCCAGATTCCCTTCCCAAGAAGATCACGGAGACTCTCCAAAGAAGGTGGCCTGCTGACATCTGCAGGAGAAGTGTTGACTTCTAAGCAGGCAGAAGAACAACCTAGCAATTTATTTCTTCATCACTGGCAAACACATCAGCAAGAAGTCCCATTACAGCAGGCACCTGAGTCACTGGCCCACAATAAAAGTAGCTATTTGCATCCCAAAAGATTGGATCTGGGGCAGAAGGATGTCCTGGTCAATAGTGAGCAGTGCCAGATGGAAACAGACAGACAAGCTGCAGCCCAGAATGGTAGAGATGAGGACAAACAGGCAGCAGCACCTGAAGAAAACACTCAGAGAACTAATGATTTTCAGAGTGTCAGAGGTGGTGTAATCCAGAGTACCCGGCGGAGGCGACGTGTTTCTCAAGAAGCCAATTTGCTGACTTTGGCCCAAAAAGCTGTCGAGCTGGCTTCTCTTCAGAATGTAAAGGTAAGGTATAGACCCTAACCAATATAGCATGTTTTAGACTACAAAATAGGACTGAAAGGAAAGGAATTTGTGCACATATACAGGATAGGATGCTATCTTGAAGCATGCAACAAGGGCAGCTCTGGTGTGGAGGCACGTAAGTTCAGCTACTGTAATTCATAGATGTGGAGAATGGAGATGTAGTGTGGTGAGACCACTAAGGGACAGTTTTATTTCACTAACACCAAATGTTATTTTAGCCCATGATATGAAAATATGGATGTTTTCAGCTTAGGTCTCAAGGTGATCAGGATTTTTGAGAGGTAAGTATAAGCAATTTACTTGTGTTTCTACCAATTTAACATTCCCTTTCTTTTCTGTTAAAAGACTTAGGCTTACCTGACAGTTTTTCAGTTTCAGCAGTTCAAGTGCGTCTAAAATGTGCTGTCTAAAAATTACATAACACAATTTACATGTTCAATATTTCACAAATATTAAAGTCTAAGAAAGCTTCATCTACATGATGAGCCTATACCAGGCATGACAAAGGCCTGTCTCATGCAGCATCCTGTTTCTAAGAATGACCTGAGGGCTGTAGAATGACCTGCCTGTAGACCTCCTGTAGGACTTAATGGGGAAGAAATTTAGTGCTGACTGATTTGGTAGTTCACTACTTCTGACTTTTTGATATCCCATCAGTCTAAACTGCACAGTATGTATTCCATATGGCAATATGACAGAATTCAAAATTAACTAGCCTATTGGGAGACCAATGATGGGATTTTTGGAGTTGGGTGGGGTTTTTTGGACGGTTTGTTTTTGAACGTTTTCTTAGAGTTGTGGTTTGACTAATCTTTTATTGAGTGCTTCTTAGGAGGCACACTTCTCCTTGGAAGTTTTGTTGCCAAAGGCTGATGAAATACGTGTTACGTGAGCTGCTTTTACCTACAGTTTTGACACCTGAGTTGCTATCCAGTCAGACAACAAAGGGAGGGCATTATATTCCCAATCTTGTTCTCATCATCCTTTTTATCCTAGTCTTTCTGTCACTGTTTTTCCCCATCTCTTCCTTAGAGGAATGTGCTGTTTGAGTGAAAGAACTAAACTAATAAACAATAAGCTGAATATCCATAGCCTACTCCATCTCTTGGACAGCAGAAAGCAAACAGTGACTTTGTTGATGTTCTCTCCAATCTTTTTTGTTCTAACTCCAGTTGAAGCAGCAGATTTGATAAAGAACTGGTAGTACATAGTAGCGTTGTGTATTTGCTCTTACTTTGCCAGGCACTGTGTAGTCATATTGCAGAAAGCCTGTAATTCACATTGCTCTTGGATCACTAACAGAGTGTCAAGAAGAAGCAAATAGAGCATTTAGGAAAAGGCCCTGAGAGATGAAGCAAGAAATTGGCCGTTTGAAGGCACGTCTGCTTGAAGTCTGATTCATAATGTAAAGACCAGAGAAGTGTTTTGACAGATGCTCTTTTGTTCTTTTTAGTTATGCAAGCATAATGGCACTAGCAGAAGAACTCTTTATGTTTATATCTCTTCAGGCTTTCAGGATGACGTTTTGAAAGATGATAAAATTCTTACCAGAAGTCTGATGGATTTTACATCTTTAAGGTGTTGGATATTGTGTGAGGGAGAAAAAGAAAATATGTTTGCTGAATGAGAGTAGTCTGCTTCTCTTTTGAGTGTCTTTCTGTTAAAAATTACCTAGAAGCCATCTCTGCATAGGTTATCTGAAGAGTGTGTAGAAGGCCATAGAGTTAAATTATTGATTAAAGAAAACAACATAAATTTGAATCAGTTGTTTGAACATCTCAGTCTAGGTATGTGTACCTTATGCAAAAATAATATTCTGGACAGCAATATCTGTCTACATGCATTGTCTCGACTGACACTTTGCACTGGAGCTGCCTGTGGCTGCCTTTTTTTCAGGTGATGCAAGATTATTGCTGCCTACAGGTTGCAGTAAATTCTCAACTCTTAGTTTAATGGTTTCAGTGTGACTTGTCTTCTAAAAGTACAGAAAACTTTTCTCAAATCTGCATGGTTGTCTTAAAGGGTGTCTGAATTTAAATATTCTTTTATGGAAGGAAGACAGGTTTTGGTTACATAGCTGCTTTCACCTGACACAGGGCAGGGCACCAGCTGCTACAAATAAAAGGGAAAAAAAGAGTTTTGTTTGGAGAACTATAGTTCTGCACTCACCTTCTTCATGGACAAGCTTTGGTTTGACTGCAGACAGAAGCTGCCTCTCCTTGATGCAGATGATGCAGACTGATGGCAGAAAGCACTTTGTGGGCAGGTGTTTTTAAAAGGCTGGTGTGGTTTCTTATTAGATCACAGATGTGGCCTTGGAACAGTTCTTTCAGCTGTTGCAGTTGGGTTTTTCTGTGAATTCTAAGTTTTTTAGAAACAGATTGAGGAATAGACAGGATTGATGCCAGAACGTCTGATGGGTTTCTGTGGATTTCCTGGAGGACTCTAGGTGACTAGTTCCTATCTCAGTATTTATGCAAGAGTCTAAATGGAAGTGCCACATGTTGCACTTGCTGAAGTTACCTGGCAGCCCTCCCGCCGAAGCTCTGCTTAAGTGATCATAAAGACAGAGGAAAGTGACACTTTTGGGTGACTATGGCACTTTTGAGCTGCCATAATTTCCTCCTTGTAGTCAGCGAATCAGTTCAGGTCTTCTGACTTACAGAGGTCTGTGTAGCACCCAGGAAGTAGCTGAGGATTTTAGATGGCTCAGAATTGGTGCTTGTTCACATATTCACGTTGTCATTATGTGTTGGTGTACACAGAAAGTGGTGGAGGGAGGCTACAAAAATTTACAAGCACCCATTTCTATCTAGAGTCACTGGACTCTAGTGATGTTTGTTAGCATGATGAATATGATGAATGCCCTCCAAACCCAAAATTGGTGGTTTCATGGGAAAGTACAGGAGCCTGTTACCAGCCTGAAGTGAAGGCAGGTCCTCAGACCTTATTAATTTCTCCTGAGGCTTATTCTGGGACAATGGATGCCACTTGTGACTTTACAATTGTGTCCCAACAAGTGTGGTAGGGCTGTACAGCTGCAGTCTCTGTGAAGAAGCAGTCAGATTTGTAAACTTCAGGATCAGTTATGGGATAAACCTTTCTGTACATATTTAGCCCAACTCTCATAAAAGGTCTTGAAAGAAGCCAGTCCTGGATCTCCTTGATATGGTGGATTTTATGTGCTCAGCCTTGTTACCTGGCTTATTTTGAAAGCTTAATGTTTTCCAGAGTCAGGGAAAAAAAAAAAAAAAGAAAAAAAGATGAAGCAAAAAAAGCTAGCTCTGGGTTTGGTTTTTTGTATGTGAGAGATTTAATTAAGATATTATCATGGTTCAGTCTTCCCTGGAGCAGAAATCCAATATTTGAAATTAATAACCTGCAGCTTTTGATCATTATTAAAACTAAAGAGCTTTTGTTGAAAGTTATAAAGCAGGATACAAATTTATATAGAAAATAAAATGTTAAAACACAGGTAGTGAAACAATTCTTACGAATAATCTATGTAAGTGTTCTAGCAGTTAAGACTACAGGCAATCCTCAGGTAATTCTATGGAATTTTAGTAATGCTGTGAAGTATTCTTTTTCCTCCAGTTACACTTCCAAATCCATTTCAGCTTGCAAATTGCATCAAGAAACTTGATATACACTGAAAGTGAGATGATATCTCAATTATTATGTAAGCAATACAGAACTTTTTAGGAATCTATTTTTCTTCTCAGGAACTGGATAATTCAGAGGAGAAGAAGAGTGTGCTGGTAACAGCTCCAGGACCTACTGCAGCTTCAAAAAGTGTTGTGGAATTCGCCAGTTCTTCCCCAGCTCCCAAAAAAGCCCGGGAGGATAACAACCTTGTGCCTCTTATCATTCCTGTGTCCGTGCCAGTGAGAAAAATTGACTTGCAGAGCCTTGAAAAAGAAAAGTCTGAGGATGGAAAGCTCCAGAGAGGCCAAACAAACGATCGAGCTCCTTGTGAACGGAAGCCTTCTGTGATAGTCACTCGCAGGCGATCCAATCGTAGTACCAACGTGGAGACCTCGAGTCAGGTATGGATGGACTAAGAAACCAAAGATGAGCCACATCTCCTAGATTTAATCACACAGCTTTTAGCCATGAACTTTTCTATTAATGTAGTTTGATCTCAAGGCTTGTACTTGGAATGTATGTAGTCTGGGGATTTTTTTTATCATAGTATTGCCATGTATTTGGGCATTGCTGGCTTTTCATGATCTACAGCTAATGCTAGTAAAGCCAGGCAGTGCCTCACTAAATTCACTAAAAAGTGAATAAAGCCAGATGGGCAGTAAGACTAGAATAATAGTCTGTCCATGTCAGGAGTGCTTTCTTCATAAATACATAAATACCAATAAATTCTAAGTAGTGCACATAGCTCTTAATGTGAATAAAATCCAAAGTGAAGATTTATTCTCATACAATTGAAACCTTTTACTGAGTTTTGAAGGTCAGTACTTGACTGTTCCCCTGCAGCATGGTAGTGATGAGTGGGTGCATTCATTTTTTTACTTTCCCTCTCTTCTATCCGGAAGTACAACAGAATGCTGAGATACCAGAGAAGGGGCAGGCATCTGGGGAGATTTTTCTGCATTTAAATGCTTGACCATCTAATAAAATACTGCTATATAGTCTTCTCTTCTCTTACCAGTGTTTGGTTTCACTGTGTATCTGTACCAGGGTTCTGCTGTGCTTTTTTGTCTGTTTTAAAGCTGCCATGAAGGTTGTACATGTGGTTCTTGTAAATTATAACTTCATAATCACATGAGCTAGAGCTGCTACCTAATACTTGCTGTGTCCAGTCCATTCCATTCCATGTTCTGTCACTTTCCCCTTTTGCTAATTGTTGAAACATTCTCCAGCTGTCCTACTCAGATTTTGAGCTGCCATTAAAAAATGTTGATCTCACTGAGGTTTTTCAAACCTGAGGTTTTAAATTGAATTAACAATATATTTTTTTTTCTAATAGCATGAAGATGCTGTTCCAAAGGATGAAGCTGAGGGCTTTGCCCGAAAACCAAAGCAGCGGCCAAGACCCGAGCCACTCTTCATACCACCAAAAGCTGGCACCTTCATTGCACCACCTGTTTATTCCAACATTACTCCATATCAGAGCCACTTACGGTCACCCGTCCGTCTGGCAGACCACCCTTCAGATAGGAACTTTGAGCTACCTCCTTACACTCCTCCACCCATCCTTAGTCCAGTGAGAGAAGGATCTGGGCTGTATTTTAACGCTATCCTCTCTTCAACTGGTCATTCAGTTCCACCTCCAATGACTCCCAAAAGTGGTCACAGAACTCTGCTTAGATCAAGTAAGTTTCATTTTAACCTTCCTTTCTAGCCCAATTTCTGATTAGGAACTGTGGAGCATTAGGAGGAACATCATGCCTTTAGGAGGTGTGATTGTGTGAAACCGGAGTTCCTTCCTCATTGTTTGGGGAGCCGGAATAGAGGAAATGCAGTGTTGCTCCATCTGGGCATGGATGTTGTGTTCACGAGCAACCTGCAACACCCCCTGCTGACGTTCTTGGGGATGAAAAGTCAGTTCCTCTCGCAGATTGTCAGTATCTTGAGCTGACAGGAGGAAGGCAAGTTCCTGCTCATATGAAACTCCTTTATTTAGCCTGGGGGCACCTTTTTAGGAAGATGGACGGCTCTGATAATATTTACAAGCTGTGTGAAAAGTAAATCTCAGATGTGAAGCTGAGCAGTTCTTTCTTCTTGTTGCAGATAGTTCAGAAGTTACCCCTCCAATTCTTACGGTAGTGGGGGAAGCCACCCCGGTCAGCATTGAACCGTAAGTAGCCGAGATTCAGTAAAAGTGTTTCCTTGCTTCCTCCTCAACCTGCAAGCTGCTCCCTGTGCGACCAATGTATTTCTTAGAAGCATTAAAACCCTTCTTATTGATGGTTCAAAATATAAGTTGTCTTGATTAAAAATTACACCACATGATAAAGAGTGTTTGTTTGAGCAAATGTAATTCTGATGACACTTACTGCTTTCTATCACTGCTCATCTTTCTCTGGGCTGAATTACTGTTGGTTACCTAAAGGTAAATCTGTCCTGTGTTGTTGTATACGACCACTTCTTTGTATGCTGTGTGCTTGTTTTAGGGTGGGGAGGTGATGCTCCTTCAGAGGAGGGACAGAATGTAGCATGGAAAAGTGGAGTTAGCTCTCACATGGCCTGGTCCAGTTGTGGGTGTGTTGTAGCTGCAGCAGAGCTGTGAACACTTCGCTCCCTCCTGGGTGAGCTCAGCCTGAAAATGCTCTAGCCAGAGGCATGTGGGGTGTGTGCCCTGAGCCACTCAGCCTTGTTAGTCTTTAGCTGGCTATGTGCTGGGAAACCTCAGACATACGGGGACACAGCAGCCATAGGGAGCACACTCTGGAGATACTGAAGCTGGAATTGTGAGTTTAGGCTTGGTGCCAGTCCTGCTAAACCTGAGCGGAGTTGCAAATGTCTCTGCACAGCCTTTGCCCATGCTCTGGAGTGTTATCAGTTCAACCTCAGTACTGCAGAACTACAGCAAGGTGGTTTCAGTTCATTATTATACCTAATTAATGACTGCCTGCAAAAACTAATCATGGAGGTGCATGGCATGGAAGCACCCATATGGCATAAAAACACCCACATGGCTCTGCATCTGACTGTGCAGTCAGGAATCTCTGCTCTAACTCTGCAGCATATCCTGTAACAAGAGATATTTAAGGAGATATTGGAGATTTTAACTCAAACTTTCCCCAGATACACTGCTTCTTTTGCTTCTATCCAAAACAGTTTATATTTTAAAAATGGACTGGAGCATTTGCTGACAATTTTGTTTTTTCTCGCCCTTTTTTCATTCTTCCTTTTTGTTTGAAGCTGTTTTCTGCACTTGTGGCAACAGCCTGTTCCAAGCAAATGTTGCAATTGTGAATTAACGTAGATTTTTCTTGTTACCTTTGCAAACCTCCTCTAGACCAAGCTCATTCACTGAAATAAGCACATTTTTTATTGTATAAATTTCTTTTGGAAGTTGCCTAATTCATCTTTTTCCTCTTGGTTCATTTCACATTAATCCAGGGGAACTTCTTGAACAGATATTTTTTGTGTCCCTCTCAGGTCTTGATCTTTGACCTCTATCGTGTAATTGTCTTCCTTGTGTCTGTTTGCTTAAATTGCTGGATTTAATGACATAAAGTTAGTTGTGATTTTAGTTGTGTGTGAAAATTTTCAAATTTATTGCTGGAAATTTCAAACCATGGTGACTTAGTAGTGCAAGTTCATTTCCTTTTGCCAAAAGGGAGTTATGTGCAGAGTTGTCTTCCTGGCATCTTAAGTCTTACTGAACAGATGCTTATGCAGGTAGATAGATTTTAACTTCTAATGACAATAAATTAATAACCTAGTGTCATTCTGTTTGGCAGCACTGTTGTGGTCAGTTATGTAGACATATCTTCCTTGAAGAAAATATAGCAGGAAGCACTTTTTTCTAGAAGAAAAAATGTTTAGTTGGCTTTGTAGTCTTGTCAGAAGTTGACTCTAACTTGTGATTTCCCAATATAGTGTTCTTAATTGCTTGTGCTTTGCCAAACCTTCTGTTAATGCTTCTCAAAAGATTATTTAATTGCAGTGATTTGAAATAGGAAATGTGATAATGAAGCTTAATTCTTTGTGAAATGATACAATAGACAGCTGTTGTCACAGATCCTTGTGTCCTACTGGTTTTGTAGTTCAGTTGCATCCACGTTTTGGGGTCACTGCAGAAGCAGGCAGCCTTAAATATACCTGTAGTGCATTGGCTTTGAACTGCCTTCCCAATTCACAGCCTCAGTTCTGGGTGTTGTCAAACTCAGCTCCCATGGTATCCCAGAAGCACTGTTGGTGCTTACAGGCAAGAGCTCTTGATGTATTCAAATCTAGACTTCATCAGCAAAGGAACAGAAGAATAATATTTCTTGAATGGATCTCTGGAGATCATCTGGTCCAAGCCCCTGCTCAGAGCAGGCCAAACTCTACCCAGGTCAACTCATGTGGTAGAATTCCAGTTTTATTTGGGCATTGCAGGCACGAGGTGTAATTCAGCTTTTTCTAGCACAGACATGTAATATTCCAAATTCAGTTTCAAAATGAAAAGCGATTTTCTAGATCTGTCTGCTAATTCATATGTAAAAGTATGAGATTGCTGCTACATTAGTGTTTCTAGCAGAGACAGAGATTTCCTGGATATTGTAAAGATGGCCTGACTGTGACGTTTTCCCTTCTCTGCAGGCGAATAAATGTAGGAACTCGCTTTCAAGCAGAAATCCCATCACTCCAAGACAGATCTCTGGCAGAAGCTGATGAACATAAAGCAGAGCTGGTGTGGCAACCGTGGGGTGATTTGGAAACCAACAGAGTCACCCAAGAGAATGGTAAGAAGATGGCAGGCTGTTAAAGAGAGCAGAGTTGTCACAGTGGTTGTAGGGATAACCACATACCTACTGTAGGCATAATTAAAAATCTTTTAGAGCTGCCATTCAAGTGACATGTTTGAGGGTCTTGAAAACAGTTTTAGGAGCAAAACTTGTTTATCAGATTGCATGTGTGGGGCAAGGGGAGGTTGGTAGGATTGGTTCTTTTAATCATAAAAAAAAGGGACCATTGCTTCTGTCAGGCCAAGAACAGCCTTTTACTCGGCGAAGCTTCCTTGGTTTTGTTAACATTTGAAAACCACACACACTCAACTCCTGTATTTTTGAGGGATGTTCTAGACGTAGTAGGATTTTGAAAAAATCAAGCTGTAGACCAAGTCAGGATGAGGAAGCAGGAGTTGTGGTAGCTAGTAGCAGACTTGGGGAACTGTCTGCTTTTGTTGCATGTGGATTGTGGCCTGTGTAAATCCTGAAGGGAAGAGGAAGTGGGCAAGCTTGAAAGAAATATTTTGAATGAGAGATTAAAAAGGGTTTTGTGAAATGGAAATTCACGATATAAAGGTGGATTCAAGAAATGTCAGAGGCAAAGGGAGGTGGGAAGACATTGGAGGAGGGAGGAGATTTGCAAGAAACTCCATGTGTAAATAGTGCTGCATGACCTAGTGGTCTAATGAGTTCTGGGGTCCAAATTTGACCCAGATAAATTTGTAATGACATTGAGCTTCTCTGAGTTTTACTTTCTGTTAAGTCTGTTCCTCCTTCAAAAGAGGTAATTAATCATGCAAACCCTGTAGGAAACTTCATTTTAATCTTCTTTTCTGAATTGTTTTGGTACTCCTGTGGAAATAGTGGAAAACTTGCTAGCTGCTGCCTGTTCAAGCATTTTTCCTGGGGCTGGAACCAACCAGGAGCTGGCGTTGCATTTCTTACATGAAGAAAAAGGAAGCATTCTGGTGAGTCTGCCCAGCTGTTCACCTCAATGTGGTCAAAGATTCCTGAGAGGAGAGCCTTGCAAATTCCTTTCAATGCATCTGGTTCCCACTGTTTGGTGTCCCTTGGATGTCCCTAAAGCGGGTTCTGACCAATGTACAGTGCCATGTGCACTTTCTATCTTTTATATTTCCAACTTGGACATGTTTGGTTTTTTAACAAACACACTGACAATCTATCAGGGCAAGTGAGCCGAGACTGCTAAATGAATCTTAGATGTTGTCTTCTGGAAAGTTTACTATGTAGAAAGGAAAAAGAAGAGTCTGGATCTGAAAGCTGAGTCAGAGGGCAGTGTCTTGCACCTCTTTGTTTTGGTAGATCCATTTGACTTCTCTATCTGTGTCTGTAGAACAGCTGTGCTAATTTTATATCAGTATTGTAAGACATGATACACTTTCATTATTTCCCTTTGACACCCCTGGGAGGTAATATCAAAAAGCAAAGCAGAGCAAACAGCAAAGCTTTTATATTCTATGACTGATTTAACCTGGCATAAATCAGGGCTGTGGTCAGGAGTATCCCACACTTCTGCCTCTCTGCTTGTTTCCCATCCCCTGGCATTGACACTTGTGAGACTGCATGGACTTGCATCGGAGAAGAGATCAAACAGAAAGTAGTTTTTGTGTGTATGTGTTAGGTTTCTGCCAGCTCATCATTGTGAATGCTGTTGTTGGCATTAGGGAGGAGCAGGACTGCCTCTGGCAGCAGGAGCTCATTGTTCAGGTGGTTTAAACTGCCAGTGGAAGCACGATTCCGTTGTCTCCTTCCTACAAAATTTGAAAGCTTTTCTGGTTTAAATGAAAACTGAAAAGCATCTTGAGAGGTGGGGTTTTTGTGTGTGTAATCTTTCAGTCACATGACTGCTGTTTTATTTTGAAATATTGCTTAGTCAAGTGAGATCAGATTACAATTACTTGGATGTGTAAGACAGGTATCATTTAGGGCAGAATTTTTGGATGTGTGTGTAATAGGCCTTTGGTTAATTAGAGGAAGTTTTTGCAAGGTCTCTATCTATGGAATTAGCTCTCTCCCAGTACCCTGGTCAATTCACAGATGTGAAGAGGTGCCAAGAATGTGCCACTTGCCTGTGGTACCCAAGATTAGGTAGGTAGTCGAGAATGTGATTTTTAAAGTTGTCCCAGGCAGTTAACTGTGCTCAGGTTCTTTTCTGTTAGCTTGCCACAGAAAAGAGGGGATTAACTATTGTCTGATTGATCTTTGTTTTTAATACTCCAAACATTAAATTAATTATTTTACTTGTGTTTATCCAAGGGAGCTCTGACCAAACTGCTGTTGAAGAAGCCAGTGCGACCACCTACCCACCCTTTGGCAGATTACCACTACACAGGTTTGTTAACCAGAACAACTCTGTGCTGCCTGCTTATCATACAGGAATTTTTCTATCCTTTACTGATTTTTTTGGAGTACTCTATTGTATTACACGAGATTAAAAGAGTAGTCCTCTCTTGTAATTCAAATGATGGCTTGCCAGAAATTTTGCTTGTACAAATTATGGCACTTAAAATGTAGGAAACACTGCATCCTTCTGAACATGTGCATGTGTATTGGGATAGGTACGAGTTCTGATTTTCTTTATGGGGAAAAGGGTAGGTAATCCCTTGCACTAAGCCACAGAGAATGTAGAAAGGTAGCCAGTATGTACAAGAAAGGTTGTGGTAACCTTAGCATCATAGCCTCTCTAACATGAGTTTCCAGGGTGGAGTTAAGCAGGGATTTTATGGGGAATAGTTTTCAAGCTTGCTGAAGAGGCCTCAGCAAACTGTGGATACCTGTGAGTATTTCTGCAAAATTTAAATGCCATAAACTGCCTTTGTAGTCTTGCACTTAATTAGAAAATAGTCAGCTGTGTGACACTGACTTCAGTAGACTGGAGTGACCTAAGTCACCTGAAAGACCTGATACAAAGTGGTAGAGAGACATCTAAGAGCTGGTGCCACAAAGCATAGAAATTACATTTCTTCATTGTCACGCATTCCTACTGTAGTTGTTGGCAAATATTATCTATATTTGAATATATATTTGAATAATATCTATAAGGAAGGAGGGGATTCAAAAATGTGTTTATTATTAGAGGCAAGGAATATTTGAGGAATACTAGAGACGTAGTAAATCTTCGAGTACACATTGCTGCTAAAAGAGAAGATCCAGTTCTCCTGCCCCACCATTTCCCTGCTATAAAATGTTATGACTGGGCCACCACAAAGTGTGTCATGTCACCTTGCTTGGGCAACATCTTAGTTCATCTAACTGAGTGGTTTTTGCAAGCTGAGCTGAGTTAACCCGTGGTGAGAGCACTAGATCTTAACACAAAGGAAGTGCTGAGAGTTGAGCTGAGGTGGAGCAGTAAGGGAGGAGTTAACAGCAGTCTGCAGTTCTGCTCTAGTAGGTTAGATGAGACACACTGCACCTGCACATGTGTGTATTGGTCTTATTTAAGGCAAACATGAAGAAAAGGTACATAGAAGAGTAAACATTTGAAATTTTGTTGGCTTCCATGGTAACTTACTTTTATCTACAGGATCAGACAAGTGGAAGGTTGCCGAAAAAAAGCTATTCAACAAAGGCATTGCAATCTACAAGAAAGACTTTTTCTTGGTCCAAAAGCTTGTAAGTTACTTTGGTTTGGTTGTTTTTGTTTCCTTGATACATTTTTACATGTTTGTTGAACATTTAATACAGGAAGCTCAATCTTGATTTTTCTGAAACCTCGGTTTTAAGCATTAGGTCTGCACTCAAAAGATTTCAGAGAAATTTCAGCATCCAGCACAGCATAAAATCTCACCAAAAAGCTAGAGCAATACTATTTGTTTTTCTGTTGTTGTTTACTTAACCCTGGTACTTAAACTGCATTACTTCCATTAGTCCATGCTGCAGATATCTCCTCTGCAGAATACATTTATAGAGCACTGTCAATGTTTAGCTTAAATTATGATAAAACTAAAAAGAAACACATTTTTGCCACTGATGGAGAGGACAAAGAAGGATATGAGAATGATGCATCCTTTAGATCTCCAGTGTTATGACAATGATAGTAAAAATGGTCACTCCCATATTTTGATGAGGTATGATGTCAACGAGGGGGAAATCACTGAAGGAGAGTGCAAAAACAGGAGCTTACTGAATAAATACCCCAAAGGCATTTAAACTGCAAAAGCTCAGAAGCTAAGAATATATTCCAAACATTTCAGAAAAATCACTGATGCAGAATACATAGATGGTCACAAGTCTGTGCTGATAATTTTCTACCACTATATGCCTACAAAATGCACGTGGCCAAAACAGGAAAGGGCTGCAAACCTTCCACTTCCATTTTTGGATTGGTATTCTGGTCTGGTCTTCTCTGAAGTGCTGCTGCAAAATAAAGCTCCCCCATAAAACTGAGAGGCTGCTGTCAAGCCTGATAGCTTAACTGGAACATTTCAGATGCTAAGAGGTGCATTAAGCTTACAAAGTTCCAGGTTCTGTCACCTTTACATTAACCAGCTTTTCTTTGGACAGTTTGTCCTCTAGTTCTCAGTGAATAACAGTGGCAGTAGGGGATAGGTTGTGGGGTGGGGCAGACAGGTGAATATGACACAGAAAAGGAAGGCTAGAACAGGAGCTGTGCTGGAATGGAGACTACTCAGGAAAGAAAATACAAAATGTATTTATTGCACTCCTAGTAATTATTTATAAGTCTTTTAAATATCACGTAATCCATTGGATTTTCATGTTTTTTAACAACAGATAAAAACCAAAACAGTTGCTCAGTGTGTGGAATTCTACTACACATACAAGAAACAGGTGAAAATTGGTCGGAATGGGACCTTAATCTTTGGGGACATTGATGGTGCTAATGAGAGATCTATGAAAGATGAAGCTGAAGTTGACATCAAGGTAAGTAATTTCCTAAATTTCTCTCACCTCCTTTGGTCTGTGGTTTGAAGTCTTGTGTGTTGTCTCTTTTATGGGTCAAATCAAAGGCACAAACAATCTGGCTTCTCTACAGGGGTCCAGACTCACAAATTTGTGTCCTGTGTCACATATGTCATTTACTTACAGACATCAAAATTAACAGTTCCTTTATCTTCTGGTGAAGAGTTCCCATAGGTTTGCACGTGTTCTTCCTCTCAGAAGGGACATCTTCAGTGAGGAACAGGGGCATGTGGAGGAGGAAGAGGAAGAGGAGGAAGAAGAGGAGGCAGAGGAAGGGTTGGATAACAGAAAGAGGAGTGCTGATGCTCTGAAAGATGAACAGACACTACAGGATGGTGTAATAGTAAGTGCTGCATTGTGCATGTTGTGCTTTCTATGCCACCTTCACTCTGCAAATAGTTTAGAAAACAGGCAGGCAGTTCCAGGTGCAGAAAGCTTCCATGTCTAACTTTTTCTGGAGCAAGAGGTTGGGCTGAGGTAACTCAGAGTGTTACTATCAGTCAGACTGTGTGCTGTGATGGGAGAACTGGGATGTGTAAGGTGGAAAAATGCAATGTATTCTTTGTGTCTGGTGGACACAGAGAGCCATGTTGAGAAATTTCCTTAAAATAGCCTGAAGATTTTGTCATTAAAATCTTTGGAATGAGTGAAGCACAGGAGCTCAGCCACTGTCTTCCTTCTGCTGGTGGGTTTAAGTGTCACTTTGCCTTAACTCTTCTCCTCTTTGCAAAGGCCAGCAACACCAATATGAGGAATCACGAGGCAACTGTCATGGGCAGAATTGGGAGGAAGCCAAGGGAGACAACAGTGAAGCCTCGAAAGCCCATTACTGCTCCAGTGCAGAGGAAGAAGAGGAAACAGAAGATAAAATCAGATGCTACCAGTAAAACACAAAATACAGAAAACACATTTCCATGTAAAAAATGTGGCAGGTAAGACCAACTCTGCTTCCAGCAGTAGTCAGAGAATCACAGTAAGGCATCTCCTGTTGATGGAGCCTTCTGTCTTTCTATGTAAGCCATAGACATTTGCAATAATTTTAATCAACTACGGCCTCACTAATACCAAAACTAAGGCTTGTTTTTCCTCAGATGGCATGAGATACAACCTGCATTTCAACTGTATACAGTATTTCGTGTTAAGCTGCACTTTCAAGCAGCTGCTGTATTGGCCCTCTGTAATGCTTACATCTTTGTAACAAGAGGTTTCTATGTATTTGCTAGATCACATATAAAGAACATGGTATAGACTTAAAAACAGTGTTGTAGAAACACGAGACACTAGCTATCAGGCCAGTAGGTACATAGTTCATCTGGTTAAATTTGCAGCTGTCTTTGGTGGATGTCAAATATATTTGTATTTCCTCGCACAGTTTTAGTAGTTTTTGTAGGTTTGTTGCCAACAGGATCGTAACTGTCAGGAAAATTCAATTCCCTATGTAAGTTGCTTATTCTTAAAACAACAGGACAAGCAGACAAGGATTCTTAATGGTGTCTGAACTTCACTTGTGGCACTTGATGCAAAATCCAAATAGTTAATGGTGGAGGGTGGAGGAACAGATCACAGAAATGTAGAGTCAGAAGCAAAAAGCTCAAGTATTTCGAGCTCTGTGGACAAGGCTCAGGAGTGGCATTGGGCCACCATTTGCTTCCACGCTTATTGTATTGTTGCAGCACAGGGATAGGCCTGAAAAGCAGGGCCCTGTTTTGTTAAGCAGCACGTGCATAATTCGGATACCAGCAGTGCCCCTCTGAGTTCAGAGCTGGCTGAGAAGAGGCCGCAGTAAGAAATGCAATGAATGAGTGCTTTGAGGGTGCTCAGGATCCCCCGCTGGCCCCTGCAGGCTGCCACATGCCCAGGGGCGTTTGCTCTCGGTGCTCTGTCGCCGTGCCAGAGGGAGTTCCCGAGCTCACGAACTTGAGGCTGGAGAAGCAGAAGCCCTTGTGGAGAAGTGTTGAAGGAGGCCATAGGAGAGGCCATTGCTAATGTGCATGTGTGCCTTCCTCAGGGTGTTCTACAAGGTGAAGAGCCGCAGTGCTCACATGAAGAGCCATGCGGAGCAGGAGAAGAAGGCGGCGGCGCTGAGGCAGCAGGAGAAGGAGGCGGCGGCGGCTGCTGCCCGCAGCCAGGCCCAGCGGGAAGAGAGCACTGACACTGGGAGCAGCAGCAGCAGCGGGAGCAGCAGCGCCAGCTCGGATGAAGATGGAGAAATATAGCAGCAGACCAGACGTGGAGGGAGTAGCAAGGCTGGACCCAACCTCCCTCTTGGTGGTCGCACTATTTTTTGCTTGCACTTTTCTTACCTGAACCATCAGGTTTTGGTTTCAGTGCTGCCATTTCCTCATGCCACATGTTCCACTTCATCTTGCCAGTACTGACCAAGCCAGAATGGTGGATAACAAGATTTGTTTCAACTTGGATTTTTTTTTTTTTAAGACTAATAAGATTTCTATTCTATTTATAATTATATCTGAGGTACATAATAGAACAATGTCACCTGCAGTGGAAGTAAGTTCTCTCAGGTCAGTCAGACCTTTCTTTTTGTTCTTGTCAGGAATCGTGGTAGTGAGATGCTTGGATATAAAAGTTTCCAGACTGGAGCAAGAGAATGAAGCTCTACTCTGAGCTAAGCGTATCCAGTTACTGTGACACTGGTGATTTCTAGTTGTTTCCTTTCTCAGCAAGTTCTTCTTCCTTTTATGCTTTCCTGCCTTTCTTTCTGAGCAGTTATTCAGGCAGCCAACAAGTTTTGTGGAAAGATGGTGTGCACTTTTGACCTGTTTCACAAAAATGAAAAGTGGAATGAGCAAGACACTTTTCTTCCTTTTGAGAGGAAGTGTTAGTTTTCAAACAGAAGCCTGAAGTCAGTTATCTTATGGCATTAAGAATGTAGCAATGGATATAAAAGTATTCTGTGGGATTAAGTGTAGCCACAGGCCTTGCAGGTTGTCTCATCTTGTAAACAGAATAGTCAGCCTTTGACTAACTTAAAGGAGTCTGGGCTTCACAAGTGCAATTTGAAATGAAAACTGGTGGGTTTGAATTTACATAAATGGGAGCAAGTTTGTTTAGTGAAAATGAACCCAGATCTTGTGTGCTGGATTGTGTGCACCTCAGAAATGAGAGGAATGGACTCTCATCTCCAGCAGTGATCCCTCTGCGAATGTTTTTACCTCTCAATATCCTCTTGTCTTGTAGCAGCCCTCATTTCCTCCTTGAAATGGCCATCATCAAGTTTTTATGGCAAGGCCCTGGTTTCCCTGACAGTTGCTGTCAGGCAGCATGTACAGGAGAAGCTTGTCACCTGTCTGCACACCAGTGGCTGGGCAGTGCTGCCTGCTGGGTTGTCCTGCTGTGAGCTGTGCTCTTTGCTGAAAGGCTGACTCTTCCTTCAGAACTGACACAAGCTAGTAGCCCAGAAAGTCTAGCCACCAAAAGCTGCTGGTAAGAGAGAGTTAAGAAGAAGTGGCCCAGGTGGCAGATGTTAGATTTGCACAGGATTGTTCTGTACATCTTTATAGCCCACGTCGATCATTATTTTGTGAGGATGCAGAGATTCACTTGTGCTTCATGGCCAGCTGGTGCCATCCTGTAGCCTGGCTGCCCAGCTCCCTCCTCCATCCAGTCCTTAGGAGCAGCAGTGACCCATCCCCAGCTTCTCAAATGCTGGCAATGTGTCAGACCAGACTGTACTGAGGGAGCTGATTGCTCCTGCCTTCCCCAGCAGGGATCCAAGAGATGTTGTTGCATGTGAGCTACAGAGTGTGCCTGACTGGCAATTTTTTTTTTAAATCTTGACCCTTCCAGCTGCTAGATAAATTCCTGGTTAACTATAGAAAGAGGCTATAACTCCAGCATGTCATTTGTCAGTCTTCTTGCCCTGTAGTTTTATGCAACCATGATGGCTTCACTCTTTTGTTTGGGAGGCTGTGTACTGTATCATGTTTGCTTTGATGTATCTATGCTTTTGCATAGAATTGTTTTTCTGAATAGCAGAAACAGTTACTACTCCCAACAAAATCAGTAGGAACATCATTAAAGATTGCACTCTTTGCAAAGTTGACACTTTGACCTGTAAGTGTTCAATTTTCTGTCAAGATTATATTTTTCATTCCTGTCAAAATTGGGGTTCCCTTCAGCATTTGGATGATTGTTCCATGTTCCTACATTGAATGGATCTTGTTTACTAACCAAGAAGCAATGAACTGTTAAAATCATTCAAAAACTGCAAAAAACTAAAAGCTGCTCCTTTAAAAAGGAGCTTAAGCAAATCAGTCTTCCTCTTAAGGATTTCAGTGTTGATTTTTGTCTTTTTTATTTATGAATTGGAGGAAATGCATGTCTGCCGTTATCTTAGGGCCCTTGGAGAGAACAGAAGCTTTAGCACACTATGTCAGGAGGAACAGTAGGTGAAGCAACTGCAAGCATTATTAGTCTTCCAAAGGCCAGATCTTTCACTGATTCTCCCTGTCTTAGGAAACTGATACAATTTTCCTTCTTGTCAAGGACAAAATCAGCATTGGGGTGCTGATTAGAACAAATCAGAGATTTTCTACACTTGCATAAAAATATTGTGTATATTTTGTGCTGATTCCAGTACTGGTTGTTTCTCTCCCACCCTGCTGCAGTATAAGTAGAACAGAACAGGAAAACTGGACACAGTCTGTCTCTGCAAGAAAATCAGAAGAGGGCTTTTCTGAGGATAACCTCTATAACAGCTGTGGGTTAGCAGCACTGACCACGATCAGGTAAATGTGCCAAGCAAGTGGCATCAAGTTGGAATATTTCTGAGCATACTTCCAAATTGCTAGCAGCCACCAGGAGACTTCTTTTCTGGCATGGTAGTAAGGAAAACAGCTCCTCCAAGTGTCATCTTAAAAAGACAAACAAGCAAACCAAGCCTTCTACCCACTGGCTTACAGTAGGAGTTTGGAATTGATCCTGCATTTGAATTAGAACTTGCCTGCTGTTAAAAGTTGGCAGAGAATTGTTTTTTAAAAAAATAAGAAAACCAAAACCTAAACAACCAACCCTCAGTATCTGTGGGCAAAGCATTTAAGTGGAAATTGTCTAATCTGGAATGAGTTATGTTCCTACTCTTTGTGGGGAGAAAATAATTTGAGTGGCTCTTTACTGCAACATAGCACAGTGTTAATTTAAGTTTGTGTTATCCCAGTAAGATTTAAAAAATCCCACCCAAAACAAAATTATTATCAATGTTATGTTGATAAGTCTGTTTTAAAACTCCATTCTTATTATTTTCCATCGTTTAAAGGCCTGTTGATTGATCCCCATTTAATGTAAGGGTTTGCTGCTAATTTAGAAAGAAGATAGTAGAAAGTCATTAATTTGAACAAGGTGTCTCTTTGCTTTAGGTCTTTTATATGGGAACAAATATAATATTTATAGAATGCAATTCTGTGAATGTGTACTAATAGATTTGCCATTTACAGTGCAAGATCAGGCTTCAGGTGGTCATACACCCCATAGTCAGATTGCTGTATTTCAGATCATTACCTGCTTGAGTCGTGATGCCAGCCCTGGGCATCACAGAGATGCAGTGACAGGTCACATTTGCCCTGATCATGTACTTCTGCCTGTGCTTCTGCCTGCCCTTTACAGATAGATTCAGTCTTTCAGGTTTGTGATCTGCATGGGATAGCATCTGAGTTTTCTAAGACTGTGTGTGTATGTCATTACTAGATAGATGCATGCACTTGTGATGCATATCTGATATAGCTGCAGGTGTTTTGCAGTCTAGCTGCAAGAACCACTCTGCATTTTAATTTATTTGATGTTTGTTCTTTTACTGATACAGGTGATAGTATCAGAGAGAACTTGGTTCTGTAAGTTGAAGGTCTACAGAATTTCACTCAGCTGTGCTGGACCATGGCATTTTGCTGGCTAGAAACAGGGATGTAGCTGCTTAAAGGCAGGGCAAAGATAGAAATTCAAAAGCTTAAAGGTAACTCCTCTGTTAAACCCATTGTAGACAAAGTCCAAATTAACTAAAAATACTCTCTGATTTATCAAACTGAGGCTTTTGGTCATTTTTATCATCACAACAAGCTTAGATTAAAATCAACTCTTTTCAAAAAAGTGTTTCTTCAATCACAAATGTGAGCTTTCTCACTCTCAGCAGTTACACACTTCTTAATTCTCTTTCAGGCAGCAGACTAGAAGGTTCCTACAGATACATGCTGTATTTTAAAGAAATGGGAGTAGGAAGGACTACATCCATAGGAGTCTTGTCTGCTTTCATACAATGCCACGTTTAGTCCAGTGCTTACCAGAAACCAAACCTTATTCTAATATACATTTTCCCACACAAACTTTCTCCCTGCTTTATCTTCTGATGTACGTCTGGGAGTTTATAAAGCTTTAAAAAGACAGAGAAGCAAGTCTACAAATCATGTTTGATTTCTGAGGGGGTGAGTTTCTATGTAAATTCGTCACTTGGGTTCAGCTGCTTTACTTTCCCTCCTTTTCTCCTGTGTCATATGTTAGGAAGACACAAACTTTGAATCCCAAGCTGTCTAAGGATCTTTCTTTCCATGACTAAGATTCCACTGACAGCTGAGCCTGAAAAAACCCTTAACTTCTCCAGATTACAAGACAACATATATTTTTATAGAAATGTAATTGTGTATTTTAAAAAAGTTTCCTGCAGCTTCTCCACATGTATTTTTCCCCTTGTAGTTCAGATTTGATATAAACTTTTTTGTGTTCATTCTTTTTATGTTCTATTTTTAAATTTGTAGTCAAAGCTTTGGTGTACTGTGCAGGAGCAGTCAGCCTTTGTAATTACTGTATAAATGCTTTATAATAAAGTATATTACTTTTATTTTAACAAGTGAGCAGACACTTCCTTTTGTGTGTCTGCTGCCTAGGGCACCTTTTAAAAGACTGTTACATGTTTAAAATGTACATATATAAATATATTTACCTGTTGCTGTACAGTTGTGATAGACTGGACTGAATTTATTTTTTGTGTGCTTTTTTATAAAATATTAATACACTAAAGGAAATCTTGCAGATGTGATTGTAATGTACTATGTAACTTATTTACTTAATATCCTCTATATATCTAAAAAACCTTTTATTAAATGAGGTTTAAAAAATAGTTTCTTAGCTGAGTTTTTTGGTGGTATGAGGAGTGGCTGGTAGCTTGTGCAGGCTGTGATGCACAGGAGGCTGTCCTGAGTCCTTCTGGCTGGTCTGATCTCTCTTCCTGCCTGCCTGTGTTTCCCACAGCAGCCCTCGAGGCTGTTCCTCGATCACAAGCCCGCAGTGTGTTTTATGTCTTACATCCAAGAAAGTAACCAGCACATGTGGCTGCAGGAGAGCAGGGAAATCTGCAGCTCCACTGCTTCACAGAAGTGTTGATGGGATGTGTGCCCCACTCCAAGCCGAGCACCCTCCCAGAAAGACAGAAACAACCTTGACAGTGTGCTAGGAGTTCCTGGGGAATAGTTCTGAGTCTGCTGTGCTGAAAATAAGGCTGGTGGGATTCTGACACTACCTGAAACAAATACAAAGACCATGGGCAAGGCAAAGTAACTCAGTACCTGCATCAGATGTGGATTCTGGGATGGCTTCAGTTGTTGATCATACTGTGTCTCACTTTTCAGTGACAAAGTTTGAAAAAACTTTTAGTAAATACTGTCTTAGAGGTACTTATCTGTTACCTGAATCTAAAGGGGGGTTTTGTTACAGAGTGCATTATTTTGTTTCTTCTGGCAGGAGCTGGATCTCTTGGTGTGGATTTTAAATAAGCTTCTGTCTGTCCTCAAAACATCTTCCCCTTTACTTTTTTGTTAACTAGGCTGCACAGGTGTTCTCACACCTATGGGCATGATGTCTTTAAAAGCTGTAAATGCTACATAAAGCAGAGGCAGAAATGTGTATTAGTGCCTGACTGGTCTCCTGTGAGATTGCACTTAGGATCTAAGGCAGCACACCTGTTAATTTATGCAGACCTTTTCATTTCAATATTTTTGGCAAAGGTGGCAGGAGAAAGACTCAGCCTAAGACATGAAAACACTAATTTTTTCAGCTCAGTGTAGAAGTCCTTGCTTTAGTTTAGTCCTGTGCCTGTAGCAGTTGATCAGCAATAGCGTTTGGAGAAAAAAGTATTTTGCTTAGTGCATGAAGAGACAGGGAACACCAAAGCCTTCACTTGAGATAGCAGGCCAGCACTTCAAGTCGTGCATTTGCCTCCCTGTCAAAACCAGCTGGCTCAAGTGTAGCATTTTACACCAAATCTAAGGCTGTGCAAACAAACATTGGACAATCAAAAAACCCACATATTTCGGGCAATTTGTGTTCTATTTTTTTTTTAACTGCTGGATCTAAGCCCAAGGTTCTAAAAGTTATTTCAGCTACTGAAAGAAACCTTATAAGGCATTTTAGTAATTAGTAAGCTTTGAGTTAGTGGTACTGTGAGGAGTTGTTCTGCAGTAACTCCCTACATGTTTTCTAAATGGCATTACAACCATCACTGTAGGATGCTGCTCTTGTCATTACTGAGACCAGCTGCTGTGGGCTAGGAAGAGTTTTCTTTATATCAGAGTTTTGAAATTACATTTCAGTGATATGGTCTACTGAAGGCTGAAGTTTCTATTAGAGAAGCTTATGAATCAGTTAGCCGTCCCCTGTTTGGGTTTAATGAAACTGATTGTATATTACTGTTAACAGAAATTAAATTTGAAGTGAATTAGCAGTTTTCTACTGAAGTAAGACCAGCCATTTCTCTAACTTATATGGATTTTTTTCCACATATAGAAGTAGTAGATTTTTCTTTTAGGACCTAAGAACAAATTCTGACAACCAACGTCTTAAAAGATTGAAAAATATTTATGTATCAGATGACAACAATCACAATATATCAGCATTTTTAAAGCCTTAAGTTATTTTCTATTCTAAAATATAGAGGCAATAAGGAACAGCATTTACATGCTATCATACTATAAATACATTGCTTCCTGAGCAGCTAGGAAAGTTTAATGAGAACAAAATTTAGTTTCCAAATACTCTTCACAAGCTGAACTATTTCATTACACATCAGCCAAAGACAGCTGTAGAAAATAAGCTTATATTATTTTTGAACAAGTTTCACAGAATAACATTTATAAACATAGGCCTAAATAATTTAAACACAGCAAATTTAACAGTTTTTCATGCTACAAAATTACTGTATACAAAAGATTGCCAAAGGGGATGTTAAAAGTGCACTCTTGCTTGGAGTTTTTCTAGATGAGCCTACTTGTAGTGTAACCTGAGTCACCTGCTGGTTCTCAGGTCTCTTCTGTCATTTTTCCATCAGTTCTCAATAATCATTGCATATATCAATCAGCTCTTTGAAGACAGATGAGTGTGCTAACAAGCAAGCAAAAAACCTAGCTAGTTGCTACCACTAATTTAATTTTAGGATATTTCTGTAAGGAATAAAGTGGATGCTAATCCTCTGTAACTTCACTGGGAAAAGCAGAATTCCACATGGCTTGCACATTTTACTTGGGTGCTCTTTTCATCCATGAATAGTGTGATTACTGTTTCAGTGGATGTGATGTGTTATGCACGAGCTGCTTTAATTCTACCACCTCTCCATGTCTTCCACCACATCCACTGCCTAATTTTAAAGTGCAAATTTAAAAGTTTAGGGAAACTTTACTTTGGGGGAGAAAATGTTTGAGGGGGATTGTTTTGTTCTTCACAGTAATCATGACTCATTAAGCAAAGCAAGGTAAAGTGAAGCTACCAGCTTTTGAGATGAAGCATCTCCTGGCAAACAAAAACCAGAGTAGATTCTTTCCTTACTGTATTGTTTCAATGAGACTGACACATAGTTTTTATCAGAAGGGTTTTAAATTATAGGTTAAGACTGGATGCTCCCTTCCTTCAATAATGATTTTTTTTTTTCCTTTTTTGTTGGTATTTACAATGCAGCCCCCAAAGAAAAGAGCTAGAGAATTTGTGCCATTTCATCCATGGAAAGCACCAATGCCAGTGGGCCACACAATGCACCCAGCTCTACCACCACCTATGATAGTTTTGGGCTGATTCCCATAGCTGCAGCTCTGCTGATGACTTACAAGAGCCAGGAACTGCTCTTAACCCTCATAACTTGTCAACGGATCTGTATTTCACTCCAATCATTACAACATAGTCAGAACACTTAAGTTTCTGTTCCTCTCTCAGAATGCCCCAATACAGCCAAAGTGTAGAGTATTTGCTGTATATAACAAAATCCTCAGAAATGTACAGACTGAGGCCATATTTAAAGAATCAGCCAGCAGGATTACTTGGCATTGGATTGTGCTTGTCACTCCCTCTCTGTCCTGTCACAGTCCTGTGGAGCTAACCCAGCCATAAACACCTCTTGCAGCTGTGCTGGGAGAGAGCAGCTCCACAGCTTCAACCACTTTGTGGCCAGCACCAGAAGAGCACCATGTGGTCTAGTCTGAAAATATCTCCAAACACAGAGACAAATTTGGAATTTCTGCTTGTTGGGAACATTCAGAAGGCAAATTTTGAATCAGTCAATCCCTGGCTCACATGAGCCACACTAACTGCAGTCATCAAGGGCACAGCCAATCCCCTGTGGGCCTCCCCAGCAGATGGGGCCAGCAGGGCCTGAGTGTGCCACGGGCTCTGTACTGCCCAAGCTCACCCACCTTGCCAAGAGTGGTTGGCTGCAAGGGAACAGAGTGGCTTGGCTCCAAAAGACCTGTGAAATGGCTGCTGACTGTAGACACTGCTCCATAGTGCTGCATGGTCAATGCTGCCTTTAACTCATGATAAAGCTAGGAGAATACCTCTAAAGAAATAACAAATGAAAATGAAGTTGTCTAAATCCAGTGAACTAGCTAACTAAGAAAGCAGTTTCTGGTAAAGCTGCCTGGAAATAGTTTGTGCTGGGTGAAGAATGTCCAGAGTTTTTGCCATAGTACTCTTGACCTTACTTTTAGTAACAGATCCAAATCAAACTCAAACCTCTTCAGCAAATGCCAACTTAAATCAGAATGCTTTAGAATTCCCCTAATAATCACCGATGAAGTAGCAATATATTGAAACTAAACTGTGATTGTCTTGTAATCATCTACTTCACAGTGTACACTTAGAAACTCATTAGAGAGAATCACCTACTACAATTATACCTGGAGCTTGAGATCAGTACCACTGTGGCCTGTGCCAATTCTACAATTTCATCTCTGAACTTGACTTCCAAGACTTTGACTCCTGCCACACATTCACAAACAAAATAACTTAAAGAGTGGCATTCTACCCCCATGCCTTCTGTGCCTGGGCTGGAACCAGCAGATACACTTATTGCCACTTCAATTTAAAAAAAGATGGTACCACAAATCAGAAGAAAAGCTTGTTAATAAACCAAAAAGGAACTGCAGAAAAATCTATTCAGATGACTCCCAAAGAGAAGAAAAAACACACCAGAGTGCAATCAGGTATGTCTTCATCGTTGTTGAATGCTTTTTAGAAGTAGCCACATAAGGGGGCTTTACTAAAACTGGTTACCCTGCAATATAGCACATTCGGTACCTCTTCAATACTTTTTTTACCAATGGCCACTTCTCATCATCTCATCTTATCTTATCTCATCTCATCTCATCTCATCTCATCTCATCTCATCCTCATCTCATCTCAATCTCATCTCACTGTTCCCACTAACTATGTATACTTTCTCTCACCTGTGCTTTCACAAGGAATGAAATTTTATCCCCAAAATCAAATTTTTCTCTCCTTGAGCCCAGGAGTTCTGTTTGCTGTTAGTTTCTCTGTTACTATCAGACTACTTAATTATAGGAAGATTCCAGAGCTGAGGAGGATTATGTCCACCAGTGACCCAATCCAAAGCCAGAAACCAGCTGTAGGCTAATAGGCCACATATTCCAATCTAAAGTAATTTCTTACTAAGAGACAAAGTTAGCAGATATTTTAGTCTTACTGAAACCATGCAAAGAATTCCCACTGCCTCTTAAAAAATAAATAAATTTATAAGTTATACATGGCTCTAAGCAATGCAGTTGAGTTCCAATGTGAGAAGCCCATTTCAAAACTTAAGGCCAGGAACAAGCGCTCGTCAGACCAATACCTTCTTGTGTGTATGTCTGCAACCTCTGGGCCTGTTTGGCATAACACTTCAAGGAATGAAAAGGCAAACTCACATATTAAAAATATTGGGAAAGTCCCATGACAAAATTAAATACAAAAAAGCTTGTCAGGTGTCTCTAAACCACAACATTATTCTTCTGGCCTCAGAGTTTCCAATTCAATGTTGGCCAGCAGCACCAAATAAGCTAAAACAGTTCTTTTATAACCCAAGAATAAACAACAAGCACCACTAATCAGGCATTAAAAAATAGCTATGTATTAATTTAAATAAAGATCCCTTGCTAGCCAAACAGCAAGTAAACTCAGCTCCACTAGTCTCTACAGAAGGTGTCATAAGCTTGACAAACCAGTGTGAGCAATTTTTGGTAACTAACTCTTTGGGTGAGAGACTGTGGAGATAAGCTGGTCTTTTAAAAACTGCCCAAAGATTTTCTTTAAAACAGATACTTTTATAAAAGTTTATATGCCAAGCTATCTGGAGTTACTTTAATAATTTAAGACACAATAAGAAAGTGTCATCAGATTCCTCCTTCTGCTCCTTCCACTCCTTCCACTCCTTCTGCTCCTTCTTCCTCTTCTTCTTTAACAACTAAGGTACCTAGGAGGGAAAAAAAGAGGAAAAGAAGAAGAGGAAGACATAATTAATTATGATCTGCCTGAAAGCTTATCTGTCCTGTTGGAAAGAGTCTAGAGTTGTATTTCCTGCCTGTTTCTAACCAACATGAACTTCTTCATACCTCAACAGGTTTTAAATAGAAAAGCCTTCTACTGATGAGCTCCTCTGCTGGATGTTTTTCCAATGTCTTGGGTAACAGGGAGTAAGAAGCTACTAAAGCAGGGTCTGCAAAGATCAGCCTCACTTAGTCTTTGGGAGATGCACCAAGTCAGCTTAACTGCTAACAACCAATCAGCATATCAGCCTTCTCTTGTGGGGCCCCTACTTTGTGCTGCCTTTTCCAGGACATATATGCCCAAGGTTTAGTGTGGTTAGTAAACTTATACTACTTTATAACTTATAACCTTATACTACCAAGGGCACTTTTTGCCCACAGATATGTGCCCTATTCCGTTTTTTGTTTTAAATTCAAAACTGCTCCTACTACAACAGCAAATGGACCACTCCAGGCCATCCTTCCTAGTAGTGCAATTCTCTCATCAAGCTTCCACTTTCTAATAATGTTTTTTACTGCAGTTGAGCTGGTTTTAGATAGAATCTGGTAACAGATTTCCCATCCACTGCTCCCTGTAGTGAAGCTGTCTCCTCTTGTTGACATGCCTGCACTCTTCCCTTCCCTGCTGTTATCCTGAATCTGTATTAGTTTTACCACTCCTCTCCCCTTCATTGCTTTAGTAAGCAGAGGATAATAGTGAACAGCTAATATCTCCATTGACAGGAATTAACATACTTAAAAGTAGATTTCAAAATTATCTAATTTTTAGTCACTGAATAGTTGAATATCTTTTCATACTAATGTCTTAAATAGGAGAGGACAGCTCACAAATTGAGGCTTACTGCAGTAATGGAGGGGGATATTCATGCATTTAGGAAATTTGCATGCAGTCTTGAAAATTTGCCCTTGCATCACAAGCAAATCAGAGCATATCCCTGCCTACCTTCATTTTCTCATTTCACCTCTTTTGTTGGGAAAACAGTAATTCAGCTTGGCAGATGAAAGCCTTGTTAATTTATTTAATGCTAAATCTTTCCACTCCCTATTAGGTATTTGATAAAAGTACTTGGGTAACTACAGAATAATGCCCAACTGTTGGTTGCAAGACCACTTGGATTTAACACTCCAAAATCCATCAAACACTGTGGCCAGGATCTCAATAACTACTTCTGAATAATTCTGAAGAGGAGGGAGGAATATTAATTTCCTGGGCACACAGATGAATCTCTGAGGTTGTGTTTAATTTCCCTGTGGTTGTCTCTATATTAAGCTTTTAACTCACCCCAATTGCCTCATGCCCCAAACTCACCATCCAGCTTTTTCAGCTTGGGTACCCGTTTGGTTGCTTCTTCAATCCAACTGTTCTGATCAGCGGCAAATTTCTCTTGTAGTGGATTGCCTACAAACACCAGCTCCTCTAGTACTGGCAGCTCTGCCAGTCTCACAAACTCTGCTGCAACCACAAAGGTGAAAACACAACCAGACTGTGGAACATGGGAAGTACATCTGCCCCACACATTCCTTTCACACTCAGTGCAAACATGAAGAGCATGGGATACAACAGGAGAGGAATTGCTTGGGCTCTAACTGGTGTCTGGTTAAAGAATAGGGATGTGTTTTAAAAGAGGTTGAAGAAACATGATTCAAAGCATGAACTTAATTGGACTTAGAAGTTAAATTCAATATTGTAACTATTTTTACTCTCTTGTATGAGTGGATATTGGGAGATCTTGCACATGTCTGCAGGCTTGTCAGTTAGAATCAAAGCTCCATGAGATACAGCACTATTTTTCACTTAGTGACTTAACTCATGCATTCACCATACTACAGAAGTCTCTATAGAGTAGAGATGCATGGCTTACCCCAGTCTTTCACCAAATTATTTGACATATAAAGAACCTTCAGTTTCTTCATTACACGGATACCCCTCAGTTTCTCAATTAAGTTGTATGAGATCCACAGCTCCTCTAGAGTTTCAGCAACTGCCTCCTGGAAAATGACAGGACTACTCAGATAAGCAGAAGTACATCTTCCTTATTATTCATACTCTTTCTTCACCTTCTACAGGTGAGAAAATACTAAGGTATATTGGTACTCATTTCCTTTTAAGCAAGTGCCTAGTTCTTAGGCATGGCAAATGCTCATGGGAATTAAAAGGCAAAGTTATATATGCAAATATATGTAAGGAGGACAGAAATTGCTATATTAGAATAAAACAAGATGTAACTGGCTGGAGTAGTTCTTAAGGCATAGGGGCAGAGGAGAAAAATCTGCCTACTTGTGCACTGCAAGCATATGTGAAGAGAATGCAATTCAACAACTGCTTTGGACAGAATGTTACACAGAGTGAGAGCATTATTTATTCTGGTATATTCTGGTGCGTTTGTGTTTGCTGGCCAGAATTCACATTCATAATTCTCTCAAAAGAGAGGTTTTTTTTAAACCAGTCATTACCCACTAACTCTGCATTTTACATTTAAGAGATATGGCATCTCTGACGGTGAGAACAGCTTTGAGGAGAAACTATCTCTTGAGAAAGAAAATAATTTATATATTCATGTAAAAAATACTGATTGAAAAAAAGTATTCTTCTGGCCAAATGCAACAAAATTGATCTAATTCTTTCTCAACTAATTTTCCCCTACTAGGTAGACTCAGTCCTGCCACCATCCACTCTAAAGCCATACTGCTCCAGGTGCCAGTTAACATAAAAGAGGGGGAACAGATGATAACAAAAGGAGAATGTAAAAGGTTAGTGCCTAACCTTTTATTCAATTAATTGTATTGAATTCAGCAAAGACTTGCAAGAACACAGGCTAATTACCTCATATTCTATTTTATTAGTGAAGAAATGATACTAAAAAGCACATACCAGTCCATTCAAGTTCTTTATGTTATTTCTTCCCAAAGACAGAATCCTCAAATTTTCTGTAAAAATTGTTTTTAAAAAATCTTGTTAATAAACAGGGTTTTTTTTAAAAAAAAGAAGATGCTATAAGTCAGGTAAAGTGCCATATTCTGCTTACAAATTGCACTCTGAACAGGCTGCCTTAAGAAAGAAAGACCTAACAGAAACAAAACCTCGTGACCTAAACAGATCTGCAGGAATTGATGCAGGGGAAAGCTCAGAAATACACCCATGAATACAAAGCTGCTCATGTGTAGGTTACCTAGTTGAAATTCAGTTTGGATAAATACTGAACAAAAATGATTATTTCACCTTGCACCTGAACTCTAACTGCTGACTTGCTTCTTTTGATCTTACATAATTCATATCCCTTCTTCTCCAGGCAAAAGTGTTTCTGATCTTATTTTAAGGCAGCAGATTTGGTTTCTATATAGTGGCAGCATATAAAGCTGCCTTACAGATGCCTGATGAGAGACATTCAACTTAGTTCTAGTTTGTCTGGCTTTAGCATCAAGTACTTGGTATAGACTGGATATTTTGAATCTACATTATTATAAATATTTAAGATACTTTAAAGGCTTTTAATGTTTTATTCCACTAAAAAATGTCATTGGTTTCACTTCTATGTATAAATGCCGAATTATTTTTTCTCATAATAGTTACTCAATTGAAGTATTACAGAACAGTTATTTGGAAAGACTGCTGGGATAATTTTCCCTGGCTAGTATTTCCAAATCTTTTGAAGTCTGAGTTTATTACAAAAAGAAATAAATTCATCAAGCTCTTTGACAGATCTCTTGGTGTGCAGTTGGAAAGGATGAGATTCCAGATTCCTTATCTATCCAGCTGGCATTTTAATAGGAACAGAAAAGTCTGGAAGCTCTATCCAAAACCTGAAGCTCTTTGCTAGCCTCATGGACAGACCATTAAAACTTCTGTTCCAAAGTCAGTAACCCAAGAGTTTCAAAGACAGCTGTCCAAGAAAGAGAAGCTCTACTTCTAGACAGGTGGCACATCCACTTATAAAGTATGAATAAAATGAAACCAAGTATGTCCAATCCTCTGCAAAGTGCAATGACATTTTTCCATCTCACGTCTACAACACTCCAACCTTCCTGCAACCAACAATGCATTTGGAGAGTTGTTGAACTGCAGACTGTCTCCATCAGGAGTGTGGAAAATGGTCATGACATCACTTTAGAACTGATTAGGTGTTGAATAGCACAGCAAGGCCCACGGGAGGGTACTGAAGAGCCTACTGAATGGAATTTTTTGATTGCTGCACTGTGACTTGACAACTGTCAAGGCTAATGCAGGGATACCTGCTGCAATACACCACTGCTGCTCAGCATGCATTCTCCAGTAAGACTGGTCATTTTAAAGGTCACTTGTAATGTTCTACGAGGAGGGACTGCAAAAAGGGTAGTAACAGGTATAAATAAAGCTAGACACATGTAACAAATGATGGCATATATCCTAACCAGGCAACTAGAAAACAAACACAATGGACAGCTGGCTTGTCACTTACTTAGGTTGTTCAAGTTGGCGATTCTATCAATGCAGTTTGTAGACAGCGATAGCTTCCTTTAAAAGCAAGAATAATCAATTCACAGTATATAAGGGATCACTACATTGGAAGAGTTCCATGGCCCAGCAGCACTGCATTAGAAATAATTATATGTTCTTATCTCATTAGATGGTAAACTAATTGAATGTGTAAACAGACTCAAAATATCCTCAAAGCATTAAGATTTCTTCTATTTTATTTAGGTTCTGGGATTTACATGACATACTGGATTATCTTTTGATGCCTAGCCCTGTCAAATGCATGGATGTTTATTTCGGAAGTTACTCTAATCTCTTTCTGAAAGTCCTGCTCAAATCACCTCTTTTTTTCATGAATTTTGGAGGAGATCATAAATGTGCCATTTAGGTGATAGACTCCAAACACAGATCTGTAATTATATACTGACAAACAGTATATAATTTTTCTGGGGACAAATATTAATACAAAATCGATCCTAACACCTTCTGAGTTAAGTTACAGGTCTCTGAATTAAAAAGGGCAACTGTATGCAGAAAGAGAAGCCCAGTGTAAGAAAAAAGGAAGAGAAAGCTGCTGCTTTGAAGGCCACACTTAAACACAGTAAATACCTATTTGCAGAAAAACTGAAACAAAGAGAGAACATTTTGTTTCCGTGTTTAACTGAACTTACTCGCAGTTAACAAGAGTGGAGAGAGCGCCATCCATCTTTTCCACAGGAGGAACCTGCCCGTACAGTTTCACTTCCTTTGCCTCTGAAGCCTTCTGGCCACTTTTCTCTTCCTAAGGAAAAGAGAAGGTGAGGAAGAGACTCATGCAAATTACCAAAAACTACTATACTAAAAGAATTACTGTAAAAGTGATTACTATAGAAGTAATTCCAATATACTACTGGAAAGAGAAAGCATTTTGAGTGCTGTTATCAAGATTCCTGCTGCTGTAGCACAAAAAGGGTAAGACTAGCTTATTTTCAAGATATCAAAGTAACTTATACATTACATATGCTAGTTTTTACAAGTTATGTAACACTTGAGCAATTTAATAAAGGAGTCATCTGCCATAAAGAATGGAGAATAGATGGAAGGCTAAAATTCTTAATTAAGGTATTTCCATGGAGACTGAGATACAGAAATCTCAGCTAGGGCCAATCTCTAGCAGAAGCAGATTTAAAAGTTCTGACAGAAAAGTCTCCTTCCCACTTCACCCAGAAATCTCAGAGCTTATGCCTGGCTCACAACACAAAGTGAACACAAGGGAGTGTGTTTTGGGGGAGAACCTCAACAGATCCATAGCATTAAGAATCTAAAAAAAAAAAAAAATAATTCTAATTAGCCATTAAGAAAGAGTAGGGGAAGATGTCACACTTTGGAGAATACAGCAAAAGACAGATTTTCTATTTACAAACTAGGCTGATAATTCAGAGCCTTGGAAAAATGGGCGTAACTTTGGCATTTAGGTTTATTAAAAAATATGGTCTATTAAAGCTTTTAAAATTCTGAAGTGATGGCAATTATTGACTAAACACTTGGAACAAGTATCTATTTAGAAAGTAGCAGCAGTTTTGACAGCTGCCTCCCTGACAGCACAAAGGGAGCATTTTGTCAGTTCACTCAGTGTTCAGTGCAAGGACTGGAGGTCCATTAACAAAGGAGAAATCTTGGCACTTTCAAAACAAGGACTCTTGTTTTCTCCTCCATTTCATGCATCTACTGAAAAGAGAGGGAGCTGAGTGTGCCCAGTTTACATGGCTCCTTTGTAATTAAATTAATCATGTCCCATAAGTTGTTGCGTTCTAGTTCTTACTGGGAGAGCAAGAGTGAAGTTTGTGGGATATACCAACAGAACTGGAAAACCCCTGAAATACTGAAGGTACTAAACAGTGATAAAACTCAAAATGGAAGTAATCCTTCAGTTACAGGCTAGTACTTTGAGCTTCTGGCTTTCAAGTGTATCTGCCCAGGCTATCACATCCAGATCTTCTAGAGACCAAAACATTTATAAATCCTTGCTCTAGCAGCTGGCCAAAATTAGCAGGGAGCATATGTACACCCAACAGCACATCTATGCCTTCCCTAAAAATCAGAAACTGGGGAAAGATTCTCACTGGTTTTACTGGACAGTGAACCTGACCCTAGAGCATCCTACATAATCATTTGAAATTACATCTGCATCCTTGCCAACACACAGCTTTCTGGAAGACCAGGTCAGCCACCACCAGACAAATGAGCTTCTGTATTGACAGAGTACTTTAAGAAGGAAAAAACCCAAGAAACTCATTCTGAGTTAAGCTTTGCACAATATGAGGGACCTTATGTCAAAAGACTTGTAGAAGTTTCACTGATTTCAGTAAGGTGAGAATTTCATACTTGTTTATTCTGTGGTAAGGACTGCACTTGGGTAAAGTGAAGAGAGCATAATTAAAACATAATACATCCCCAACTCTGAATCTCTTTGTGCCTTCAGGCCAATGCATATTCAGCAGAACAACGCAGGTGGGCAAAACAGACTAATCTTTACCAATTGTATCAATTTAACAGCAACATACAAAAAGTCCAACAGAATGTACAATACAACAGCAGTAATCATTTTACTTCGTGAAACTTCTTAAAGCAGATGTTTCAAGCAAACATATTTCTTACAATGTTTGAAACACAAAATTAGCTGAATGTAGTCAAACCCCATGCTGCTAGGCACTGTTCTAGTACTTACCCATCTGGCTAGAGCTTCTTTGATGGTCGTTGCTTTTGCCTAAAAATGAAACAAACTTAAGTGAATATTCATTGAATTTGTTAAGTGGATTGTTCACTGCAAATCTATTTCTTCTCCCCTCCCTCTTCCTATCCTGCTTTTCTGTCCCCCTTCCCCCACTTTCCTGTATTATGTTGGGTCAGCCAAGTCAAAGAAGTTGGAACCCCCCAGTGTCCTGTAATTTTGTTTTCTAGGGTACTTTGCTTCATTTTCAGAAGCAAACAATGGGCTTAATTTCACAGCATTATCTTTCTGATCTTACTCTCTTCCACAAAGCACACTGCTTATTAGCTTTTATGGTGAAATTCAATTCAAAGGCATAAGAAGTTACTGCATTGAAAATTGTGGTCTAATTCTCTTAAACCCTTACACTTTCTATTGTGCATTAGCAACTTCCTGTCTGAAAGCAAGTCTGTGACCAGAAAATGATATAGCCTCCTAAAATTCACTGAAGAAAATGAGCTACATCTTGCCAAAACTCAAGAGCAATCTGGATTATATATATTTGGGATTTCTTTCCAATTGTTTTGCATTGAATGTGAAGTGAAAACATGCATTATTCCATTTGGAAAAAACTGAAAGCTGTTTTTAAAGGCTTTTTAAGGACTGACCCACTGACCAACTTTCTGTTGTCACTAACTCTTACTTGTCCACCTGACATCAGAGTCTTAGTGAAACCACATAAAGATATCCAAAACAGTAGTATATAAACAACATGCTTAATGCTTCTCTAAACATTAAACATACTCCAAGATATCTTTTGGATTAAAGAGGTTTCAGAGATCAACCTTTTACAAACAATGATCAACAGCCTTCTTTCTACCAATAAGGGAGGACTCTAGTTTTGGCATCTCTGTTGCTCTGAAGTGTAGCAGGACATGGATAAAAGCATCCTTTCAGATAATCAGATATATAATCCTCCCTCACTGTAAAAGTTAAAAACAACAAACTAACTTCCTCCAAATATCTTACAGGCAACCACCTCAGTCAAAGAGCTTTAGTGTTGGGTACTTTACTCTGGACCACAGGAAACTCTGGTCCCAGCAGTAAAAGGCAACAGCTGAGGCAGCTGTATATAAGAAAAGGCCACAGCCACCAAATACCCAGCAACAGCCTAAGAGCCAGCAACCCCAGGGAGCCTGAGCATGCATCTCAAATATCAACATACACCTCCATTTAGACATCCTCAGATGTTCCAGCTGTTTCTGCCCACTAACAGGCATTCATTTTTCAATCTGGTCTATACCAAGTGACAGCAAGCCCAAAGTCCTATTGCAGATGACCTGCAAATCTGAGCCACAGCGGTAGCTTCCCAGTGTCTGCCAGAGATGAACGTCTGCATGACCTCCTCTGGTTCAGAAGATCACATTCCTAAATTCCCACTACAACAGCCAATTCATGCCAATTAACAGCTACCAGTGTGCAGGCAAAAACAGCTGGCTTCCAGTTAATTGGGGGGTTTGGGGCAGAAACTTCATTGCCTTTTTCATAATTACAGCAGCTAATCATCACCACAGCACTTGGGTACATGATCTCGGTCACTCATGTTGAAGGCAGAAATGCACTTGTAAGACCAGTGGCTGCTGCTGTTTCCAAGTCACGCCTTAAAACAGTTTGGACTTTAAAGCTACTGATCCAAGCTGCATACAAGGAGCAACTTCTTCCTTGCCATCTGCTGACTTATCTCTGCCGATTTGACGAAAACATGGACATTAGCACAGCAGGTTATCTGGAGAGCACATATCAGGGATTTCGTTTTCTTTGAGGTGCACTTGAAATTTCTGTAGGTAAGTCATAGTATCTTCTGCCACGGGAGGTTGCTTAAGGGAAACTTCCTCCAAGAAGTTTATCTGCAGGACTCTTCTGCCTGCTTATTGAACGATTTTCTACAGGTATTTAGACTAAAGAATGTCATAATACTTAAAATGTTCAAAATGCCAAATGACCAGAAGTGGCCCTGAAGAGTCACCATCAACATGGCAGGAACAAGAAACAGAATCTCTGAAGGGGAAAATTAGCCACACCTGTACTAATAATGGTTGTAACAGAAGACAGATTTCCCCCCCAAAATATGGCAGTTGGACACACAGTATTTACAAAAATTTAGACCCCTAGGAAAAAGCAAAACAGCAACACTTCGCATTTATTTGCAGACATTTATTTCTATTTTAAATGGATGAAGTCGGAATTGCATAGCAACAGATACCAAGCTAATGGCCCTAGTATCGCCGATCGCCGATACTGCCTCCTTAAAACCACGTACTAAGCGAGGTTTGTGAGTTTGCGACTCGGGGCCCTCTCTCCTCGCTTATGCCCGAAATCCCCCCTTCCCAAGGCACGGCAGCAGGCCACCGTGCCCGCCTCAGCCGCCGCCCCGAGCCCCGCGCTGCCTCCCGGACGGCTCTGGCCGAGCCCGGGCTGCTCGGCGGGGCCCGGCCCGCGGGGGCTCCGCGCCGCCCTCACCGCCGCCGGCCCCGGCCGCAGGACTCACCATGGTGCCGTGGATACCGCGAACGCTCCGGTTGCTACGGGCGCGGGGAACGCCCCGCCCGGAACTCGCGTCGCGAGCGGCCCGCGGCGCCTTGTGGGACCGGCGGGGCCTTGTCCGAGCCCGGCACGGCGCTCACGGCCCAGCCCGGCGTGGGGCGGCCCCAGGGCCCCCGGCTGCGGCCCGTGCAGCTCACCCAGCACCCCAGCGCTCGTCTTCGTGCAATGTGATGGGCGTCTGGCACGGAATTATTGCGGCGGGTTCCGGGCTCCTCAGTGCAAGAGGAGCTACTGGAGAGGGGCGGTGGAGAGCCACGAAGATGATGAGGGGTCTGGAGCCTCTCCCTTGTGAGGAGAGACTGCGGGACCTTGGCCTGTTCCGTCTACAGAAGAGGAGAGCTCACCAATAGGTACAAATATCTCAAAGGTGGGTGCCAAGACAATGGTGCCAGACTCTTTTCAGGGGTGCCCAGTGACGGGACACGGAGAAACGGCCTTAAGCTGAAACACAGAAGTTCCACCTCAACGTGAAGAACCTCTCTGCACTGAGGGTGGCAGAGCACTGGAATAGGCTGCCCAGGGAGGCTGTGGAGTCTCCCTCTGGAGACAGTCCAAATCCACCTGGACATATTCCTGTGTAACTTGCTCTAGGTGACCCTGCCTTAGCAGGAGAATTGGACTAGGTGATCTCCAGAGGTCTCTTCCAACCCTATTAACTCTGTGAATGTAAACCAATTTAAATAAAGTGGTTGTAACTAAGGCCGTGATCAGGCACTCAGCTTAATTACACTTAATGAAATAGCTACACATTCTGCAGAGTGCCCGCAATGCATCTTGTGTCCCCAGGTAGCATTAGAAATATACAAAATGCTAATGCAAAAGTTACCTGGTTTTCAACAGGTCCTTCTATTCATTATTTTGTACAGGAAACCCTGACTCATTCACGAAACGGCTCTTCACAGTTAAATTACATTGTTTTTATTTTTTCTCCCTTTAAAACAAAGTATCATTCACTTTTCCAAACAAATACCTAACATCAAATTCTAACACATGGTTGCTTTTTAACAAAGGAAGTGTTTTACTTCTCTTTCAATTGCATATATCACAAAATCTAATAATGAATTATTTTAAAAGCTTGTGCTTTAGAAATTAAGTCTGAGAACTCTTAGTCTACCTGTTTGTTGTTTTTTTTTTTTTTTTATTTGCAACTTAACATTTACTGAGCCTCCAGATTGCAATCTTGCATAGCAATACATATGCTGAGGGAGGACTACAGTGTGGAGACACAGGTATTGGCACTGGGAGAGTGACAGAACAGGGAGAGGGGAGGTGCTGCTCTTGCACAATTAATAACAGCTCCAGCTACTCAAGAGACACAGGATGAGGCAGGAACCTTCACACGACAGACCACCCTTTCTCCTACAGTTGCCACTTGAAATGAGTTTGGAAAAAAAAGGCAGGTGATAGGTATGGGTGACAGCAGGGAGCACATCACAGCAGGCTCTGGTCCTGGACTTCTGGGGCTGCTCATGTTAGCAGAGGTTCAGGCACCAGGTACAACTTGTCAAAAGCCTATTCAGCTGGTGAGGGAGTTTAGAGACAAGGCATAAAGAAATCTTGTGTGGAGTTAGCAGGATGGAGCTTCTCTTGTAAAGAATGGATGGATAAATTGTTCAGTTGGCATTGATTGTGTGTGAAAAACATGTGACTTTAATCAAATGATAAGGAATAATACGAGTTGCAGAAAGCTATTGAGACTGAGCAGCAGCATAATGACAGTTAACTGGAGAGAGATCCCTGAGAGCAAAGCAAAACCGAGTACCACTAATGAAAGTTTTGTATCTTCCTGGGCAGCTCTCAAACCGGTCAGACAAAATGACTTTGGAAAGAGAAATTTTGTTGATATATAGGCCCTCTTTAAACAGGCCTTCAGCACCATTTCAGCAAGACCCTCTTGAGAGATCAATTCATTTAGGAAAAAAACAACTTCTTTCTACCTGAATGATGGGGGGAAAAAGGCACTAGCCAAAAATGAACTTGGAAAAAAAAAAAATAAAAAATCTCAGGCAGCCATGGAAAAGCTATCCTAGATTTGGCTTTGGAGGGCATTGTTAGTTTAGTATGATTCTGAGTTAATCACCACCATAAGGTGACAGCTTTTTACAGTCAGTTTATATCTATAGGCTAGGTTTTCTGTCTTCCAACTCTGCTTCCTCTCTAAGAACAGCTGTCAGCATCTGTTGACATCATTACTAAAGAGTTCCACAAGTAATTAATCCCTGATTTAATGGCTGTATTTAGACACGCTCTAACCTATCCAACAGAATCTTAATATCCTAAGTGTCAAATGCCAAACCAAGACGTTTCAGGAACAGACAGGTACATTCCCAACACAAGACAGTGCAAGTACTGCCATTCTCCTTGGATGACAAGGAAAAGTACTCTTCATTTCCCCATTCAGCACATAGTTCTTTTTGGAAAGAAACAGACCGTGTCACCAGAAGACCACAATGCTAAGTATAGGAGCCTCATTTCAAGTAGGTATCTCCAGCTTCGTGTAAATGGAAAACATTTCCGAAGTGTATATGGCTGTAAATATGAGAATTCTGGGGTAAGGTAGATTAGGACTCAAAGCCAGAGTCACTCATGATTTGGATTTCTATGTTTATCATCCGTCATTGCCAAGGTGTGATGCTGTCTGTCACTGCTGAGGGTGCAGGCTGCCTGTTAACATTCTGAGGTGTAAATACTGCAAGCAAGGAAGTACCTACTACTCTCTTCGGGTACTTGTTTCTTCGCATCATGACCACTTTGAGCTGTCAAATTTGTACCACAGTGCAGCCTGCTTGTTGTTTCACATCTCTTATTTGTCTAGTTAAATTAACTTAGGCTGCTCCAAATAAATCCCTTTCTTTTTAGATTTATACTTGTAAAAAAGTAGTAATTTGTTTATTTTCATATTTCAAGGCTTCTCTCAGTCAATCCCTTCAATTCACTGGTCATCACCAGTCGTTTTGGTGGCTCAAGTTCAGTCCTTGCAGATCTGCAACAGCTTGCATGTGCTTAAGTGTTCATCCCAAATGCAAGTGCAGAAACTCCTGAATCTTTCCCCAGGAGTGTTCCTGTGCGTGGGCATGTGCTTTGCTCTCTCCACCCCCCAGAACAGGCACCCCCAAAACACGATCCATAGCTACCTGACAAAAGGGAGTAGAAGGAGGATCAATTCGGTGACCTGCTCCTGGATAACTCAGGAGTTCAAAGTTCTCTTTCCCGTGCTGGCGTAGACGCTTGATTGCCAGCTCAGCATATAAGGAGCTCTTCCACATCCGATCATCTTCCCCTACCACTAAGAGAAAGTGGCCTTCTGCTTTTTCAATGGGGATCACGCTAGGAGAATTAGCAGGATTTGTTGGGTCATCCAGAGCTTCAAAAATGTCAAATACACCAGACTCAGAGACACTGACTTTCTTCATATCAAAACGCAGCCCGGGCAGAGTCATCTCACCATAATGGAGGTCTGCAACTGTGTTTGAACTACAGCCAGAGATTGAGACAGCAGCCACTACTTCTGGCAGGAAGGTGATCATGGAGAGTGCCAATTCTGCCCCTTTCCCAGTCCCAATCACTCCAACTCCTGGTCCTTTCACCTTCAGATAAGATAGGAGGTGGAGAAGAGAGGAAGAAAGGAATAAAGGAAGCATACATTATAATGGGATTAGCCATTAATTGACTTTGGAGTTGCTTTATTTAAAAAAAGTTAGGTTAATTATTGATGTAACCTGTTGGAAGTGACAGTCTGGACCCAGGCTCCTCCTTCTGTCTACAGTCATATTTTTCAGAGACACCAAGAAATAACCAAACCCCACAAAAAATGCAGACAGACACAAGACATACCATCACTCGACCCTTACCTGGTCCCTACTGCATATGTTAATGCAAATTTTTTCTCATTTTCCTGAAATAGGTAACAGGAAATTCAAGCAGTCTACTCTTTCATATGTCTCAGCAAAATAAAGTAACCTCACAAATTACGCCTGAAGGATTAGATAAGTAGTATTTGTCTTGTCTTTTTCTAGCCTGGAAAGTAAAACTGAAAGCAGCATCCCACATCATCAAATCAACTACTATTGAGCAATGTCATATTATCTTCTCTTAAAACTAATTGCTTTCATGTAAGAAAAAGCCCCAAACAAACCAAACATTTTTATCACCACTGGTCCTGTTTGGAGGGTACTTCAGCATTCACTCTCCGACTGATCAGCAATATTCTAGCTCCAGCAAGAATTTAACAGACACTTTGTACTGGAAGAAATTCACTCCCCAGTCATATGTGTCAGCCACTTTTGGGCCTGAGCTTGCCCAGCAGAAACTGATACTCAAATATAAAAAAATAAATCACCACCACAACCACTTAGGCATAACTACTAAATCCTACCTAGTCCCAAGAGACCTCTCATTGCACTCACCTTTGGATGTCGCTGTAGGAACCTTGCTGCCTCCTCAAAGTACTCAAGTTTTAATTCTTTCATGACCCTAGGAAGATCTTCAAAGTCAAAATATGGCAAAGAAAGAGCAGCAAAACCACGGGTAGCCAGGAGACTGGATCTAAATTCAATCAAGCCTCCTTCGTCACCATACATATCGATCACTCCTGGAAAGGGACCATCCCCTATATTAAAGAGAGGAGATACAGAAGAAAAGTTATCAAATAGGACACAAAAAACTATCTGGTGAAGAGTGAACAACAAAATACAGAATGCTTAAGACATTTGCTATTAATAGTCCTTATTTTTCCATTTGCAGAGCAGATATTTAAGAAAATTAGTGCTGTATCCCACTTCAGCTATTTCAAAAAAGAAGAGGTCCAGGTCCTTACAATCCTGTAAAAATATGTGAAGTTACAGGTTTTGCTTTTTAAAAACAAAACAAAGCAAAACAAAACAACACAATGACCAAAAAAAGACTCAACAACTGTTCTAAATGTATTTTTCCATGGTCTTAACCTCCTGCCCTCAGACCAATCATACATCAAGTCTGCTATTTTCCTACAGAGTCACATCTTAATTAGCAAAGTGCAAGCTCATGAGTAATGAGGCAAGAACACTGAGCCCTTGAAGTAAATTCTACAAAACTTATGTAAATTCTGGAATAAACTGCGTTGAGCAAAGCCCAATAAAGATAACCCATTGTTAAAATCAACTGGACTTACTATCTCTATCACAACATCAGCAGTGTAAGACTTGGCAGGAGAACTGCTCCTGCAGAAGTGACAAGACAGAGGCAGAACTGAGAGCTGTATGGGTGCAGCTGTGTGTACATGACTGACATACAGATAAATATGCACACACGTGTACAACATGTCCCACCAAACTACAGAAATAATCAGAACACAATTTTAAACAGCCATGCTTTTGCAGCCAAGGTCATGTTGTAACATGTTTGTATGCCAAGCCAGGAAATCTTAGATTAAAAGGCTAAAGATGCTACTTAGTAGAGCTTTAAAGAACTCAAGCAAGCAATTCTTTTTCTCTTTTTTATTTTCCCCTGGCCACCAGATGTCACATCCGATGTGCCCCAACCCAGCTCTCTACAACCATCTCAGCACAAAGAGGACATGCTTGTTGCAAGAGTGTGTGAACTCTCTGACACTACCTGTACATGCTAAAGAAAAAGTCTCTGGCATTCCAACACACTTGAGAAAAGGAACTTTTGTATGACATACTGAATAGTGGAAACCTCCTAAATTAAAGCATTAAGAAGTCAGAAAGGGACTGAAACATGCTTTTGGGTTCTTACTAGTTCAGTTCTGATCTTTTTTTCATTGAAGTTCAATATTCTATTGAGAGAAAATATGTTGGGATAAATTTATTATAATGCTATGATCAGCAGTTAACCTTTAGTTAGCAGCAGCCAGCCTAGATGACAATATGTATTCAATCATCACTCCTACCTGGAAAGCTTTCTAGCAGGAGCATGTAATCAAAACATAGTCAGAGATGAATGTGTTTCTCTCTCATGAAGACACCCTTAAACTTGCACAAGGATCCTGGACTGCCTGAGTGCCTACACATGCCCAAGTAGTACACATGCAGAGCTCACTAAAAAGCAGGATAAAATCAGCTAGAGAATTTTACCAACATTTAAAAACAAACAAACCTCCACATCTGTAACTCTTATGCCTGAATTGAGAAATCACTTTCATATTAAAATTACATTGTAAGTCCATTCATGTCCTCTCACTTTTACTAAGAATGGTTCACATTTAAGATTCCTATCTTACAAATATTAACATTTTTTTTGTCCCTGGAGCAAAGAAGGGTATGGTTGTAATGTTGTAACTGGATCCTCCATCATGATGGATGGTAGTATCATTTAAGCAATTATTCCAAACTTTTCCACACTATTGCAATGCCAGACTTTCTAAAGGGGAAACTGCAGTTTCATCTTGCAGATCTCTGGATTCCCACTGAGCTCAGCAGAAATCAAACTCATCCTCTGAGGCAAGACAGATCAAAAACAATGTCTCAGAGATGGAAAATCCAGCATGCTGACTAAACATCTGAAATTCAAAGTTCAATCTCTGTTGTTTTTTTCCTCAGTGGACTTTGGATCCGTATCTAAATGGATAAAAAAATCTTTGGTTTGGAATGAAAATACTTAAATACTTATAAGTGTAGTGATACTTACAAGAGTTGCTGAACCAAGTTGTTTTAAATTAGAGGTAATGAGGAGGGCAGTTCCAGTACCCACAACACTCAGGGAACTACAAGAAGTTTAACTCCTAGCTCAAGTGTACAAACACAATCACTGGTGTAAGGTTTCGTTTTCTAACACCACTCACAGACCATCAGAATATCCCACCTCTTAAAGCACAACCATCTGACAAGCAAAGAACTTGCTCATAAATCCATATACCACAAAAGTAACCCAACTACTAACTGTAGTAACAGAGGTGACATACATGTACTTTCTAGAATCTCATCTGCTGCTCTGCTTCCTGGCTTGTGTTTCACAGGGAAGAAAAATACCTTTTTAATTCAGTCCTACTTAAGGTAAAATCCTTAGTACATTCAGTGCAGGCTCAAATAATGAAGCACATCAGCTTTTCTGGATGCTAGATTCTGGTACTCCAGAGCAAACATCAAACCTACTGAAAAACCACAGGCCAAGCACAGCAATGAAGGAAACTCTACAAGCCCTGTTCTGCTTTAGCTGCGGCCCGTCCCGCAAGAGCCGCCTCCGTGCCCGCCCTGCTCGGTGCCGCCGAGGACCAGGCGGGCTGGCCGCGCACAAGCCGGGCGCTGTCGCGACAAGCACCTGGGGGATCTCCTTCACAGCTCAGAGCCACCTGTCTGCAGGGCGGCGTTCGGCTCCAGGGAACGCGGATTCCCCGGGTGATAGCCTCTGCAGGGGTTTGTTTTACAAGACTTTCCTTGCTCTGGTCAGAGACGGCGGGGCGTCCCGCCGGCCTCGGGGAGAAGGTCTCGGGCCGGGGCACTCACCCGGCGGCAGGAAAAGGGAGCCCCTTACGACTCCTTCCTTCAGCCGGATCCTCCGCACGCCGGGGGCCGTGAATAATCTCTGCACCTCGGCCTTGGCCACCACGGGCCCGGGCATGGAGCCGGGCGGGCTGTGGCCTTGGTGGACCAACACCTCCACCTTCATCGGGGCGCCGGTGCTGCGGGGAACGAGCCGCTGGTACGGCTTCTCCATGCCGGCGGGGGCGAGGCTCCAAAAGAGCCCCATGGGCTCCACGCCGGTGTAGTCCCCGCCGTGGGAGGCGTCCGTGCCCAGGTGCAGCTCCCCGCGGCTGTCCGCCCGGTAGTGCGCGCACGACTGGAAGAGGCAGCCGCGGTCATCGGCCGCCACCGCCCGCAGGGTCACCGGCTGCCCCGGGCTCAGCCCCGCTACCCGCGTCTCTACCCGCTCGTCCGCCGGGCCCACGGCGGGGGACACGGCCAGGCTGGCAGCCCGCCGGGCCGGCGGCGTGCGCAGCAGGGCCCGGGCCGGGACGGCGGCCAGCGCTCTCCACATGGCGGCGGCAGTGGCGGGTGCGCGGTGTGGCCGCGCCGCCCGCAATATCGGTACCGCGGCCGCCGCCCCCTCCAGGCGGCCCCAATAGAGAGCAGAGCCCCTCCCCGCCCCCCAGCCCCGGAAGGCCGCCAGCGCCGGGCCGCTCCCGCCTCCCCAAACCATCCAACCGACTGAAGCAGCGAGCCGTGGGCAGCGGTTAAAGTTTCACTTTAATCCATTACATTAGGGTGGATGCAAAACGTACAAACGGGCAACAGCATAGGCCAGGTACGGGCTGCAGGCACCGGCGGGTACAACGTGTGCGAGTGCGCCGGCAACACCCCGCGCCTTCTTCAACCGCACGCTTTGGGTGCCAAAAGTTACTGACGATGCCCCGCGGGGCTGAGCGCTCACCCCGTGGCGCGGAGAGCAGGGCCGTGCAGCCGGAGCCCCGCTCCGCCACAGCAGGCCGGCCGCCTCACGGCCCCTTCCCCTTCCAGGCCGCCTCACGGCCTGCACGGCCTCACGGAGCCGGGCTGTTCTCAGCAGCCCTTAGGAGCAGGCTGCTGAAAAGGCATTTGGGGAATGTACAGGCAGGGAGCTCCGGCAGTGCTGCGGATCTCCACAGCTATACCCAGACATGCTGAGGAGACACCCGTGTGCGGCTCCAGGATGACAACTAACATGACCTGTTCTGTTGTTTCTTCACGCTTACGAACTTCCACAGACTGTTTAAATGTCTCATTTCTACTGTATGCCCCCAGATCATCACATCAAGCTACGGGCCATTTGTTGCCCACAAGTGTGAAGTGTTACCTGAGAGTGCTGGCACAATACTGCTGCTTTTGGTAAGTGAAATATTAGATATTTTTAAGGCAGATGCATTTTAGTGGTTTGAGAGAAGGGGAAGGAGCAACAAAGGAGGGAGAACTGCATAGGGAGAACAGAAAGATTACTGGAGGCAGATTACTGCTTCCAGAAAAACTAGAATACTGGAACTAGAACACGAATTTGGGAAATGGCATACATTTCCTCTGAGAAGGCCAAGGCACATTTTCATCCCAGTTCTCAGCTTGGATGAGTTACTTACCACTTCAATTCACACTCAAAGCACACACAACCTTACCACCATTTGTTTTCCACAGCTTATAACCCTGTACGACATTAAACAGGAGGCCAAGACCTCTAATCAAGATTAGAGGAAGGTGTGAAAAGGAAGCTGCTTTCTTGCTTTCACCCACCATCATCCTCCAAGAAATAATAGCTTATTCTCTGATGTTCCTTGTTCTCATTCTGAACCTTTTAACAAAACAATTTAACAAAACCAGCATCTTCATCTGTATAGTAACCTAATTCCTATCAGAGCTTACTGGGTGTTTCAGATGGCTTGCCTGTGAGGTGTTTACGAAAGAAAGCTTGGATCTGCTGCCAGGCATCTATCTGTGCCTCACAGTGTGCCTTGGGCTCCCCTCCCCACATCACAGGCTTGCCAAATAGCAGGTGCATTGAGGCTGCACACATTGGGAAAAAGGGAGGTTCAATGTAGTGCCCTGCTCCAGGATAACAGACTATCTCAGGCTTTTCTTTCCCATGAGCCTGCAAACGTTTGCTCCCCTCAACTGCAAAGAATTCACTTTTCCAGTTGTGATCATCCTGGCCAACAATGAACAAGAAGCAACACTCAGCCTTCTCCAAAGGGATAAAGCTTTGCTGGTCAGGCCCTTCTAGTGGGTTGTTGAGTACATCAATAATATCAGCAATCCCGGATTTGTTGATCTTGGCGCGTTTTAGATTGCTACCAAGGGGTGGGATGGTGATGTCCTTGTAGTGGAGCACTGCACCCACATTTGCCACCGAGCCATTGATGAGGGCAGTGGCTGTGATGCCCTTCAGGAAGGAGGCCATGGAGATGCACAGGTCACCCCCCTTCGAGTGTCCAAGCAAACCAATTCCTGGACCTTTAACCTGGAGGTGAGAGAAGAGAAACCACAAACAATGAACCATAGCATGCCACTACTTTAATATGTTGCCATGTTTGCAGCTGTGTTTGTCCAACATTTGGAGCCCACCTACAGGCATCTGAAATCCCGTGTGGAAGGCCCATGTCTGAGGGATCCTGGGCACTGTTCTGTGCTTGATCCTAAGCACAGACCCTAAGATCTTGTTTATGATCCTAAGCCCTGCTGAGACTGTGGCATCATCCTAACAAAGCTACAAGGTTCAGTGCTGAAGCAGAGGGTACAGCTGTGCTTGTAAATGTGCAGTCCCAGATTCACTTTATTTATAATGCAGTTGAGAGAAGAAGAGGGAAAGAGCAGGGGAGGCCTCCTCTGCAATTGCTTTCTTTCAGTGCAAAATGCTCAAAGTCAGCAATGACTACGATTTTATCATCACTTATGTTAATGTATTTCTTACATTCAAGGTTCCCCTATAAGCTGACGTGGGGTAGCAGGCTCCACATGAGCTGCTCTCCCACTTCACTAGAATGCTTGGTATCTAACTCACAGGAAGTAGTTTGAGGTAGCTTACTCATTAAAATTTATCTTAAAAATATAACCTATTAAAACCATTTTTCTAAGAGAATTGTACAGTAGTCAATCTAGACTAGGTTACCTTCATTTTCTGTCACACAAGGCAAATTAACTAGAATAGGAAAGTTAAATGAGCTTACTGGATGCTGAAATCCTGTAAGGATACTGGAAGAAGGTTAGCTAATACCACACCTCTTCAATATCCAAAGACTCTCGGGGCAAATAGGCTCTGAGACAGCATCAAAATTTAATACCTTCTGTATCTTATCACCAGTGTAATAGGCTTCAAACCCACTGACTTTGAAATATGAGAAGGGGAAAATTGGAAAATATGGCTGAAACTTTGCAACACATTAAAACCACGGTGAGAATAGCAGTGGAGGTATTAAGGGGAGGCAATGGTACTGTACTGCTCTCAAGGGAAAAAAATGCAGGGGGAAGCAATTTTCAGACTTTTTTAGGCAGAGAGGTGGCATGAGCAGTTAAGGTTAAGGTGACTAAAAAGCAGTCAAGACCTTTAACAACTACTCATCTTTCTGAGGTTGATGAAGGTATTTATTTTCATTCTCCAGAGAAGCCAAGTGTTGGTTTGTGCAATTCTAGCTACTGTCACTCACAGCTACTTATAAGGAGATGCAGAATTGAGTAGGGTTCTCTTCTAAGAGATGCTGAATTAGAAGGATCCCTAAGTGCACAACTAGCTACTAAACCCCACACTTTGCAAATACCAACATTTGGAGCGATTTTAACAGCTTATAAAACACACAACATCAAGTGTGTATTGGTGGACTTCCTTGAGTTTCCTTGGTTTTCCTGAGACCTGGATCACAGAAGGTTATTATGTGCTCCACAGCTAAAAATGACATTTAGTTCTGAAGGACATTCTACAGAGCATAAATCTAAAATCCCCACTACAAGTCCAGTAAGCCTCCAGGAAACTAGCACCCTAGTTATGACACTGGGTTGAAAGGAGTAGAAATTACCAGTATGTGGCCAATGTATCACTGTTTCACCTGGCTGGTTCAAAAGGAAGAGTTGGAATAATCTGCCAGAGAGCCATTGTAATAGGAGTTAAAGATATAAAACAAATTAATATCAGCCAACTCAACAGCGATGTTATTTTAAGTACAGCAGCTCTACCCCATCTGCAGTCCAACAGGACCTAACTAATGGGAGTCACTGTAGTGACAGTCAATGAACAAACCAACCTGGGTGTGTTGTAACATATAGTTTACAGCTTCTTCAAAATATTCCAGGTGGATTTCCTTCATCCCTTTGGGGAGATCTTCATAGCTGTAGAAAGCCAGAGCCAGCACAGCAAAGCCATGGTTGGCCAGCAGGCATGCCCTGTATTCAGGGAGTCCTCCTCCAGTTCCATACAAGTCAAGAATTCCTGGAAAGGGGCCACTTCCTGAGAGAGACCACATAACAGGACACATTAGTCCTCAATCTTTTATTTATATTCCAATATAAATATATTATATTCCAATATAATATATTTATAGGCCTGGGACTGTATCTTTAAAAAAATTTAAAATTACAGCAGCAGAATGGTATTGAGGATCCTAAATTATTGTGACAGTTTTAATGAAATGGCTACATTGCTTCAAGATTAAACAAACTAGCACAAATTAGCAGGCCTGCTAATGTTTTAGATAACATCAGGAAACAGACATCTGGAAGAGAAGTGATCTTTTGACAGGCACAACTAGTTCTCTGTATCATGTAAATTCACTGCAAATGTATTAAGCTCCGATTCAAAAATATCCAGAAGGCTTCTCCTTAGTGCATTTCCCTGAAGGCTGATCCAAAAAAATCTCATCTTCTGATGGGTCTAGCTTCTCAATTTTAGTGTAAATGCACCTCAGTCATTTATTCTGGGATTAAGAGAAGAAAATATTTTAAACCAGCCTTGCTTACCTGGTAAGGGAAGCATTATATTAGGTTCATCATGGGACAGGGACTGAAGTCCAGAGGGACTGAGAGGGACTGCTGCCAAGTATTAACCAAGTATGAAAAGGAGCAGGCCAAGAGGGAGACTTCCATTCCTGCTCAGGAGGGAGGGTGAAGCTTCCGTTAGGTGTCTGCAGACTAACATCAAAGGTGGGTAACAAGCAAGGACTAGAAATTCACCTCCAGCCTCAAGAAGACAGATAAAGCCACGCAGTTAGAGCCCAGGGCACTAGCTGGCATAGCACGTGTGATTTTAGCACTGTCATGAAAGAGTTATCTGGGACAGACAGGAAAGAAAGGGGAGAGGGGAAGGCACGTGATATGTAGAAGAGCTCCTTGCCAGAGACACCCTTGGTGAAAACCTCTAGATCACAGGGGAAAGGGAAGGCGGGATGTGGTGGAGGTGTGGCTACTACAGAACCGAGGGAAAGCAAGAGATGAGGTTTCCTACAGAAAACTAGCAGAAATCTGGACAGCTGATGGAAGGACAACACAGCATTTGTCAGGCAATCTGAAAACCTCACAGGCCCTTTTCATTATTTTCTGACAAAAATACTGCCAGGGCAAGTCCAACGTTTTCCTTGACCTTCTACTCATAAACAGGGAAGAACTTGGGACAAATGTGGCAGCAAAAGGCAACCTGGGCTACAGCAATTAGGACATTACTAAGTTAAGGATGTGTGGAGAGGCTGAAAAGGGAAGCCTCTACAGTTTAGGAGAGCAGTGGTCCACTTACTCAAAAGCATTACCACCTGAATTTCCTGGAAAACAGCCAGGTAGAGGAAAGGTACATTGAAAACTGGCTGACTCCACCTTCTATGGCATTTGGGAAGAAAAGGTGTACTGTGATCGATGCCTTCATGTCCAATAGAAGTCAGTTAAACAAACACACGTGCTTCACCACATGTAATTACTGTGTGAGGAGTTTGGTCAGCAGCTCAAAGCTGGCTGGGCCGATGAAGCCACTTCTTGAGGAGTGACCAGTGCCCACTGGCGAGACGCAGCTCCTCTCTGTCCTCTGCCTGCTACGGGGCTCCAGGGGAGCCTGAAGGAGGCCTGCCTGCGGAGCTGGGAATGCAGGGCCGAAAGTAGAGGCAGCACAGTGGGGGCAGGAGCCCGGCACGGCCGGTACTCACCGGGGGGCAGGAAAAGCGTCGCCCGGATCCTCCCTTCTCGCACCGGGACTCTCCGCACCCCGTCCCGCAGGAACGCCCGCTCGTGCTGCGCCTGGGCCAGGAGCTGCCCGGGACGTTCTCCGTGGCCCTCGAACACCTCCAGCTGCAGGAGGAAGGGGCTCTGCACGTCCCGCTTTACCAGCCGCCAGAAAGGCTTCTGGGGCTGCAAAGCCCAGAGCAGCCCCATGGGCTCCAGGCCGGAGAAGCTGCCTCCCGGCAGCGCAGGACAGCGGGCGAGGTCCAGCTCCCCGTCGTCGCCCGCCTGGTAGCGGGCGCTGGCCTGGAAGAGCTCTCCGGTCTCGTCCCGCAAGGACGTTCGCAGCGTGACCTGCTGCCGCGGGCCGAGGCCCTGCACGGCGATGGCCAGCGGCTCATCGAAGAGGCTGCGGGCGGCGGGCGACAGGCGGATGGAGGGGGCCATGGAGGAGAGTCCCTGGGCGGGGGCTGTCCCGGGACTCCGTGAGGCTGCGGGCGCGGGGTCAGGCCAGGAGAGCCGGCTCTGCCAGGTGCGGAAGCTGGCCCGGCACAGGGAGCGGGCACTGACCTGCCACATGGCTCTGGAGTTGTCGGTCCCGCCTCTGGGGGCGGATTCTGGGGCAGATCCTCGCGGAACCAGGACCGGACTCGGGTCCGGAGGACGCTGGCACGCCCCGGTGGGGAGGAGCGGGGCGGCAGCGCCCTTGCCCCGCCCTCCTGCTTCCCTCCAGCCTGCCTGCCTGACAGTCTGGCAGACAATTTCCGTGCCTCCCTACTTCTCTGCTTGTCTGTCTCCTCGCTTCCTCTTCTGTCTTTGCCCCGCTGCCCTCACCGGCTGTGGGAGGGTTCATCCAAAGGCTGCCTAGTCCCTGAAACCCGTCTGGGCCTCGACGAGCTCCTCGGTGTTCCCCCGAGCTCTCCCGGCCGGGCGGTGGCTGCGGCCAGGAGACGTGGGGAGAGGACGAGCAGATAGGTTGACGAGCCGCCGAGCAGAATCGCAGTCGGAATTCACTGGACAGGGAAGGGCTGGTGTGAGACAGACCGCACAGAGATGGGACAGCTCTGCACGGCACGGCTGAGCTGTGCTGTGCCGCTCAGGCAAGGGACCGCAGCGAGGGTCAGTCCCAGCCGAGGCGGGCAGAAGCCACACCAGCACTAGCTCGCCATGGCTTCTTGTCTCCTTGCCGGCTCTGCTTCTCTGTTCATTACCCCAAGGCATGGACAAGGTGAGTTATGTCTGACCAGGCTCTGCCCGGCCTAGGCAGCTTCACAGCCAGGTGTAATTAGGAAGGATGGTCAGGGTGGTCAGGGATGCAGGAGCAGTAAGGGAGGAGCACTTTCGCACACTGTTTAGGTCAGGAAACATCCGGCTCTTCTAGTAATGGATTGTGCAAAGATTTAAAAAAGAAGGTAATTCAGTCCATCTTATGCGGAGATGGATCTTCTGACCCAAAAGGAACTGCAGAGGGAGAACTGTTTCCTGAAGATCCCAGACTTCCTGGAAGATGCAGGTAGGGATGCCTTGCGCTCTAAGCTCCTTGTGTCTGTCTTAGACATGTGAAAGAGGTGGAAGCGTCTAAGGGAATCCCAAGTGTTGTCCTAATTGGAAATATTAAGTGGTCAGAGATATCAGGCAGTCTCAGCAGTCTTTCATTCACCATGGATATTACCCTTTCTCTCCAAACAAGTGAGGTGTTCTGTCATCTAGCATTTGGGTATGTTGTCTGGTGTCCAGCCCTGAATGTCTGGCAACTACTCCTATTGCTGAGAACAACACTCCATGGCGTACACTACTATATATGATCATGGGTTTGACCATATGTGGGAGCAGATGCTAAGGGAAAGGGTCCTGGACGCTTCAGCAATATTCCTTCTCCTCCGTGCTTGGTGACACAAGAGCTGTGGAACAGAGTGAAGGTAAAGGGGATATGTGTCCGTCTTCTATGGTCTCCTCTTCCCACCCGGGCAGCCTGTGATCCCAAGTTGCTGCAAGCTTTCTTAAGCTTTCACCCTGGGGTGGGGAAGTAGTCAAGCTGCAAATCCGACTTCTAACCAAAGCACAGCAAAAGACTCCATGGCTTTCAAATTTCAGTCTCTTTATTACAATTTGCATCCGAGTAACAAAGATCAAAATGTTCCACATCATGTAGGAGAAGATCAAAATGGCTGTAAATTCAACAGAAAGTTTTTTGCGTGATATCTTGGAACCAGAAGTATCCACGACCCAAAGCACTTGCTTCTGAAGGGAAGATGGAAAGAAGGCACAAAAGGCAAATTAGCTCTCCCAAGGTTTAACCAGAGACAGCCCAGCATCCTGGCTATAGCAGCCATTCTTACAAACTTCCAGTAGCACAGAGGTCAGAGAAGTTTCCATTTGCAATAACACATTTGCCATAGGAGCAGTGAAATCCCTGCTCCAAAATTGTCATTAGAGACAATTGTCATTAAAGATAATTAGTATGACCTGAGGATGCATGTAGAGACCACAGTGACATGGAAAGTGCTGTCAAGCATTAGAGGAATAGAAACCACTCAAGAAATGAAATCGTGCATTTTGCACATTACCTGTTTTGTCAAAGACTGATGCAAAAAATCACCATTCCTTTTCTTGACACTTGAGCAAAAGGTCGAGGTGGGAACAGAAAAGGCAAGCCCATTTATTTTCTGTGTTATGGATGTGTAATGTCATGGAAGACACTGTAGTTGTACTGGTACAGCTGTGACAAGGTTTGACCTGACAAATGTAGCAGAATTTATCAGATCTGGTTGTTCAAAGATGTGTGTTACCCGCACATTATTTGTTGCACGTTAGTTAACAATTAAATTCTTTCTGAAAAAAGCCTGGATCTGTGACCAAGCGTGAACCTGAGCTTTAGAATAAGCCCTGAGCTCCCCACCCAGGACTGCCCGCTTGTGAAAAACGGGGCGGCTTCCTATGTGGTACAAAGGGAAAAAGGGAGGGTCTATGCAGTGCCCTGTTCCAGGGCAGGAGAGAATCTGAAAATTTCCCTTCCCTTGAGCCTGCAGAAGCTTGCAGACTTCAGTAGCACAATACTCGCTTTTGACAACACGGTCATCTTGTCCCACAACGAATAGGAACTGTGCCTCAGCTTTCTCTAGTGGGATCAGGCTTTGGTTGCCAGGGGCTTGAAAGGGATCATCAGGGACATCAGAATAATCAAGAAATTTGGAATTGGTGACCTTGGCTTTGTGCTCATATAAGGTCAAAGTGGGGATGATTTTGTCCTTGTAAGAGAAAGGAATGCATGTAGCAACAACGGGGGCATTGAGGGAAGCAACAGCCACGATGTTCTTCAGGAAGGCAGCCATGGCAAGGGACACTTCACCGCCTTTGGAGAAACCGAGCAGGCCAAGCCCTGGACCTTTCACCTGGGAGAGAGGAGAAAATGCTCATCAGTACTGAGCTGAAAAGATTCATGGAGTGGAAGATTGTCTCATGCTGAGAGTTTGCAAAACCACGTGAAGAAAGTGACAGCAAGATTTACTTTTTCTTCTGCCTGGATGACAGGGATCTCCTACACAAAAATTTTTTCGATTCCCATTCAAAATGTTCCCTTATGATAGCCAAGAGAGAACAAGCACAATTACGCCATTTGAGCTCTGGTTGCAAGAGAAAATTAAGATTATTTAGAGTTAGTGTGGAAAAGTTTTGGTACTGGGTAACTGTGAGGAGAGATCGGGGTTCCCCCATATTGGACAGAGACAGTTTCAGCCAGCTGTCCAAACATGAGGGGGAGGCATTTTTAATGTTGTTTTTATATCTCACTGTCTACTCTGTTATTTACTGGCAATAAATTAAATTAATCTTCTTTAAGTCAAATCCGTTTTGCCCATGATGTTGGGCAAAATACTGATGAATTACTCCTTGTCCTTATCTTGGCCTGTAAGGTTTCTCTTCTTAGTTTCTCCACCTCTCCTGTTGCTAAAGAGGATTGAAAGAGTGGCTTGGCAGATTTCCAACAACCAGCCAAGGTCAATCTCCACAGTTGGCTACCAGTAAGGGTTTTTTGCTTTATATTTTCTAGACTAAGGGTTCACATGGGGGCATGTGGTAACAATTCATGAAAGCTGCTTCAAAAAATGCAGCTTTCCTCTCCACAACCTCCCCATGTTGTTATGTCTCAGTCACTCTGAGATGGTGTATCTCAATAGTACCCATGCTCTGGCCTTCCAGTGCATATCTGCTTGATCCTTCCCTTTTCTAGGTGAGCATTCTGGCAGGTGCTAGCTAAACCAGATGAGTATTTCTGCAGCTTTCTTGAAAGTGGCAATGTGACAGCCACGTGTGGGACTGCTGACTGCCCTCCCCACTTTTTCTGCCCCATGTAGTTGTTGTGAAACTCAATGATCCTTGTGTCCTTCAAAAAGATGCTGTTCCTATGCCTCAAAGGTCTGATTATGAGATCAAATAAAGGCTTACTCTCTCAAAACTCTCCTGTCCTGCTCAGCTCTGCTTGGAAAAATTGGTGATGTGTTCCCTGTACCTTCATTTGTGTTTCTGCACTGCTTGGAAGCCCATGAAGGAACCCTCAGCATGGTCCTTGCCTTACAGCATGCAGAACATTCCCCTCCAGTAGCCATGGTGTGGCCTTTGGAGGACACGACACTGCCCCATGCCTTTGGTGCCTGTGCTGTGCTGTGCTGCCTGTACAATCTGGCCTTCAGGCCTGTGCTGTCCTGCACAGATCCCAAGCCTTACAGGACACTCAGCCAGCACTTCCTTACAGAGGAGCAGCTCCCACCCAAGACCTGAGGTAACACAACTTATGTGACCCTGCTCTTATTGAACAGTGCAGAAAGACATTCTCTTGCAAACACTGTTTCTATTTGACGGTAGATATGTTAAACAGAGCTTTTTCCTTATACAAGAATCTTAAAATACCTTAAAGAACTCAAAGGAGACAATCTCTGCTATGAACCACGTCTGCGTGACATGGCAAAATGTTTCTTTGCTTGGGGTTCTCAGCATCTAAAGGGATGTAAGATTAGTGTTAGCTCTAATAAATCACATTTTTAGATATCTTACAAAATTTGGGTGCTTTTCTTACTGGTATCATAATGGACCACCACCTCCTAGTTCAAAAAAGTTGGTATGCTCTGCAGGTCTCAGCAAGAAACACCTTTCTGCAGAAAGAACAACAAAGAAAAGATAAACTCTTTTGCCTGGCTGGCCCTGTGTAAATCAGTGAGGAGTCTGTGTAAGGTGTCTCGCCCAGACAGTTTCCTCAGAATCAAAAGCTGAGGAAGAATTACCCAAATGCCCCACCCCAGCAGAGCAGAGTCCAGGGAAAGGAAAAGATAAAGATTTTATGCTGTCCTTGGTTGGCATTAAAGTGCTCGAAACAGACATGAAGGTGCTTGCAGCCATCACAGAAAGGGCTGCATGAGCTCCTGGTGCAGCTCTGCACCACAGCAAAGCTGCGGTGCTGGTGCCTGGGGTTGCACACAGAGCACACAGAGCAGCCC